TTCTTATGATTAGATTGAGGTTATGTGTTTTGTGCAAGAAAACCACAAAAAATGATAATGTTTTCAGTGCATCTTATCATGGAGGACGTGCTGATAATTTTATTTTTGGTAATGTTTACCTCATCAATTAAGGTGTGTCTACCATGTTTTTCCTTTATAAAGTTACTATTTTCCTCTTTGTGAGTGATAAAATATTTTGTGGAAATGCTTTGAGACTGTGCTAATATTCTGTTTCTCCTTAAACTTTCAACCATCAATTTTAGTATCCATCTGTAGATATTGCCCTCAATTTATTGAGATATTTGCATAATGGTGACTGTATTTCTGACATTTTCTGTACATTTAATAGGAGTTTATTACCTGAATTCTGTAAGAAAAAGCTGATTTACATATTTTTTGGTGTGGTTTATGGATATTTATTATATTTCATGGGTTACTTCCAATACTATCACCATTTATTTTGTTGCTCAAATTTTCAAGCTTTAGCTATTGGAAGTGTTTTCAGGCTTTTTTGTTTTTAATTGAGAATTAAACCCAGGTCCTTCACATTAAGCTACACCCCAAGCCTTTTTTATTTGCAATTTTAAGGCAGGGTCTCCCTAAATTGCTAAGTTGCCTGTCCAAGCCTGGGCTCAAACTTGCAATTCTCCTGCCTCAGCCTCTCAGAGTGCTAGAATTACAGGTATTCACCACCATGTCTGGCTTTTTTTAAAAAAACATGTCACCATCCTCTTTCACACACTCCTTATTTTCTGGAACCATAAGACATTGTAGTGTTTTGTTTTTTTTATTCCCCTACCTCAGTGCCTTGATTAAGCTCTTTTCCAAGAAACTTTGATTCCTTTTATTGGAGAGTGGGACTTAGAAGCCAAACTTCTAGGACTGAGTGTGTTTAATGCTGCTGGAGTCTCAGTGGCTCTGGAGCTTGGAAAGCATGCCATAGATTAATCTTTGTATACACACATCTGCACTTCTTCACTTTTATATTTTATTTTATTTTATTTTATTTATTTGGGGGGGGTACCGGGGATCAAACTCGGCACCTTGAGCTTGCGAGGCAGGCAGAGGAATTACTGAGCTAAATACCTGGCCCCACTTTTATATTTTAAAAATGAATTCATACAGAGACTTTCAATTCCAGTATAACCCCACAAGGTTCATTTTTATCTTTCCCCTGGTTTGTAACTTCTTTCTCTGATAGGAAGAAACCTGCTTCTCATTATCTATGAATATATTCACTTCTTTGATGTATTGTTTTAGTAATATGCAATTGCTAACCCACACTCCTTCAAGAACCAACTTGCTAGCTACTTTTACATACAATCCTTCTTGTCCCTAAATTTATAGTATCCACAGAACACCATTTGTTTTGCTTAGGTTTGTTCCTTTCATCCTCACCCTAGTAGTGTGGTCTGTTTTGGATGCCACTCCCAGTTGATTTTGTTTGCTTCTTTCTTGCTAGGGCTCAAAGCTACTCAAACTGATACATTCCAAGATCTCTCACCTTCCTGGATCTTCTCAGTTCCCATCCTCCTTTCTTTCTACACCCTTCCCATCCTTAACCCTGTAAGTAACTAATCTTTTTAGTTTCCGGATTATTTTTCCTGTGTTTCTTTTGCAGAAATGAGGAAATACATATGTATTTTTTCATCCATTTCTTTCTTACAATTATCTTGTCTTAAAATTTTTCTTAATTTTGTATAGTTACATTTCACTGTGGTTTTAAATTTTTATTTTCTTTATTTTAATTTTTTTCCCCCTGGTACGGGGAATCAAACTCAGGACCTTGCACTTGCCAGGCAGGCGCTGTGCCACTGAGCTAAATCTCCAGCCCTTATTTTCTTTATTTTCAATTAGGTTGGACATCTTTTCATATTTATTTGGGTTTATTGGTCATTTGGTTTTCTTCTTCCAAGAAACTTCTGTCTTTGCTCTTTTTCTCTTGGATTTGTAGGGCAAACTTTTGTAATCTTTTCAGTTACATTTGCTACAAATGTGTTACTTTGTATTTAGATGTCTTTGGAGTAGAAGTCCTTAAATTGATCATTTGCTCTTTTGTTTTGTTTTGTTTTTCTTTTTGGTACTGGGGATCGAACTAGGGTCCTTGCGCTTGCACAACAGGCAGCGAAATGACTGATCTAAATCCCCAGCTCTCACTTGTTCTTTTGTGCTTAAATAATCCAGGAGCTTATACAATTAATTTCCTACAGATGTCTTCTAAAGGTTTTAGAGTTTTGTCTTTTACATTTAAGTTTTTAATCCACATGAAATTTTTTGCATATCAAGTAGTACATGATAAAATATAAATAATAAACCGGTATAATTTTTCTCCTGGATTACAGTTCTCGCACTGTGTATTGAAGAACTCACCCTTCTGCCCCTGATCTTCGTGCAGCTTTATGGCAGATCAGGTTTCTGTAGGTGTGGAGGTCTGTCTGTTTCCACCCCTGTGCCCAGACCACTCTATTTTATTAATACAGCTAATTGGTTTTTAATCCTCCCCACCTTTTTCCCTCATGACTGTCTTGACTCCTTTTTTTTTTTCTGTCTTGACTCTTGGCCCTTCGCTCTGCTGTGTAAATATTAAAAGCAATTTTTTTGTTTAAAAAAAAATACTTTATATTGGTTCTATTTTGAGTTTCTGGATAAATTTGAGGAAAGTTTACATTTTAGCTATATTTTATGAAGTAGTTTTACTTGGGTCTTCTTTAACATCATTAATAGTTTCATCATTTTCTCCAAAAGGTCTTATATAGCTTTTGTAAGATTCATTCCCAAGTATTTAATTTTTATGGTGTTTTTGTTTTGGTTTGGTTTTGGTTTCTTTGTTTGTTCATGCTGGGGATTGAACACAGGGTCTTGCACATGCTAGGAAAGTACACTGTCACTGAGCTACATCCCCAGCTGTTTTAAAGACATTTCTTGTTCGCCACTGTACATAGAATTGCAAGTAACTTTTGTAAAGTGTCTATGAGGGGAAGGGATTAAACCCAGGGCCTTACTGCTAAGCAACACTTTACCACTGGGATATACCCAGCCCCTCGGAAATTGAAATCCATCAACTTCACTAAATTCTTACTAATATAATTGGCTTATCCATGGATTATTTTGTGCTTTCTACACAAATATTAGTAAACAATGATAGTTTTGTTGCTTGCCTTACAGTTCTAAGTGAAAAACATCAGGACAGACTGTTCTAAAGTGTAAGCCAGGGAACACAACATTCATAGATAACACATAGGAAGGAAAGCACAAAAATATAAACCATTGGCTTACTTTAAATTAAAGATTTGTGGCTATATTTTTCTTTTGTTTTAAATATATCTCTATACTTTCCAGATTTTCCAAGATGAGTATCTATCACTTTCATAAAAAGAAACAAAACTTAAAAATAAAAGCAAGTGGGCCGGGGATTTAGCTCAGTGGTTTCGCTGCCTGCTGCACAAGTGCAAGGACCCGAGTTCGATCTCCGGTACCAAATAAATAAATAAATAAAAGCAAGTTTGAGCCGGGACTGTAGCGCAGTGGTACAGTGCCTGCCTGGCAAGCATGAGTTCTATTCCCGGTACTAAATTAATTAATTAATTAATTAATATTAAAAGCATATCTAAAACAAAATTTAAAGGTAAGCATGATCTATCTACTAAAAACACTCAGAAATAAAGCAGCTACCTTTCACAAGCCTGCTCTCCACCTACCTGGCTATGTAGTTACGGACTAATATCCTGTTTTATATCCAAGAAAGCATCTCTTTGATTCCCAGAGTTTGTCCTTTGAGGATATGTATGGAGTTGAACTATCAAAGTCATACTATCATTCTTTAATTCATTTGTTCTGAAACGCAGTCAACTCTTAATTATCCATGAGGTATGTTTTTCTTGTCTAAGTTATGATCTTTTCACATCAGAATGCCTTAACTCACACTGCTTATTTCCTAAGATCTAAGTCTCAGCCAATTCCACTCTGCTGTTTTACAAATAAGGAGACTGAAAACAATTTCTGAATAAAGACTCTTAATGAAAAATGCTTAAAAGCAAAATTACCTTCTGTCCACCTTTTCACATGGCAAAACATTGGTCTCATTTTCTTTTATACCACTGAGGCCCATTAGTATTACAGCTTCTAGATGCTAATTGCGTGTAGTTGTTAATTGAGCTGCTGTTATTTTAAAATAAAAGTGAAACAAAATAAAATCATAACTCATAAAGGTCTCTTCGTTTCAAAGAACAATTTGGTGTTTTAATTATCGCAACAGCAGCATCATGCACCTAGAACTATTTCAGGTGTCTGTACATGGAAGTAATTTTATCACAGAAACAATGACATCATACTAAAGTTTCACAGTTTCTAACATTTTGGAAATACTGTAATTGTGGGGAATTTTCACTTTTATTAATTTGGTACATAACCATCACTTCCGTTGAGGGTCTCCCATGCTCTGGATCCTGAGTATCACTGGATAAAAATGAGTACAGCAGGAGCTGGGGTTACAGCTAGGTGGTAGAACACTTTCCTAGAACATGCGGGACCCTCAGTTCAGTCCCCAGCTCTGAAGGAAAAAGTACAACCACCTGAAAAAAGAAAAACCCACAGTCTAGTGAATCTGTGGAGACCTCGTACTGTGTTTTCCTTATACTCACCTTGTTAAATTTGGGCTGAGGAACTGTCACTAGTATTAATTTGGTCACTGTTTTCCTGTGTGGCCTATCGAGCACTTTACATATATATTTAGAGAGAGTTTAATTAAAGAGACATTCAACTGCTTTTCCTTCAGTATCAGAACATTCCTTGATCTTTGTGTCAGGTATGGGTGGCGGGATGCGATGTCCTAACCAAGAAGCAATCTGGGATTTCCTTCTCACATTCGTGCTGCAGAGGATGAAAAAGGAAAGGCCAACTCTGTGACCTCGGGGTCCATTTAGTGCCAGCAGCACTTGGCCCCACAGCGAGTCTCACGTGTGTGTGGAGTGCGAGGGGGTAAATGTTTTTCCTCCCGGCAGGTGTCCTTGTCGACTTGGGTCTGGAAGAGACAGGGACGGCTCACCAGAGAGCAGAGAAGTATGTGGTTCGCCTGGACAGTGAGATCCAGAGCAAGTTCGAAGTCTTCATGAGGAGAGTGAAACAGAACCCGTACACCCTGTTTGTGCTCATCCACGACAACTCCCACGTGGAGCTGACGAGGTGACAGCGCTCTTCTATAGCAGTAACCCCACTGAGGATGTCCCCTAAGGTGGCCAGAAGGCCTGGGTTCCCTAACACTTGGCATTTTCCTACTGCTGATAACGGAGTCCTCCTCACTCCCCGCTGCCTCAACAGATTTAATGTTGGTTTTATTTTAAATATACTGTACAGGAACTTAGAGATGCTTGTTTAGAAGCCATTCTTAAGAGCATTGTGGGAGCCAGGTGTGGTGGCGCACGCCTGTGATCCTAGCACTTGGGAGGCTGAGGCAGGAGGATCACAAGGAATTCAAGGCCAACCTGGGCTACACAGTGAGTTCGAGGCCAGCCTAGACTACATAGTGACATAGTGAGACCCTGTCTCAAAAACCCCCAAACAAAAATAAGCATCATAAGCCAAGCATGGTGCCACAAGCCTGTGATCCCAGCACGCAAGAAGCTGAGGCAGGAGGATTGCTGTGAGTTCAAGGCCAGCCTGGGCTACATAGTGAGTTCAGGGCCAGCCTGAACTACAGGGCAAGACCCTGTCTCAGAAAAGGAAAGCATTGTGGCCCTCATTGCTTCATACAGAGGCAGCAGCGAGGAGGAGGGGAAACACTCCCAGAGGGAGAAGTGCTTCCTTCTGAGGACCCCTCTCTGCTTTCTTCTCCTTCCCCTCCTTCGATTCCTCCTTGCCTTTGCCTTTCTGTCTTCCCTTGCAAAGAAATGCCACTTTCAGGATCCAAGAGCCCCGAAACCTCCCTGCTTTCAAGACTAAACAGTGGGTATCGTGTTGTCCAGTGAACTTAACTCCGGGCCTGCAAGTCTGGAGGGGGCTGCCCGCTCCGCTCCCAGATCACTGCAATGTGTGGTGGGAGGATCTTTGTTCCCCTAGACCAGAAGGCAAATCGCCCTGGAAAGGGGAGGAGGAGCAGTTGGGCTGGAGCAGTTGCCTGGCAGATGGTCCCAGCAGATAACTCACGGGTGACTATGTCAGGGCTTGTCCTCGGCCTCCGAGGGAGGGAAATCTGGGACAACCCTGAGCACTCTCAAGTCTCTTCTCCAAGAGACACGGAGACCAACAATCTGGAAGCTGTCGTTCTGTGGTAGGAAAGTCAGAGCTGCAAAAACACATTTTTTTTCCAAAGTTCAAATGCCACCATGTGTTGTTTTTTTTTGTTGTTTTTTGGGGTTTTTTGGTACCGGGGATCGAACTCGGGACCTTGTGCTTGTGAGGCAGGCAGAGGCAGCACTGAGCTAAATCCCTGGACCACCACCATGTGTTTGAAACCGTACAGTTTCAAACCCAGAGCCACACAGTGGTATAAATAAGATCTTGTGTCACTGTTAGGTTTAGGAGCAAGGGGAGGAAGAGGAAGAGGTAGAGAAAGCAGGAGGGAAACGAAACTTTTCACACATCAGTTCAGTGACTGCTCCCATTCCCTGAGCCTGAGCAGAAAGAATTCACTGGCCTGGGGCACTTTGCCTTTGAAAGCTGGGTGGCATTTCTGTGGCTTTTCACCAGGTCTCCAGAGAGCTTCATGCTTTTGTTTTTTTGTTTGTTTGTTTGGTTGGTTGGTTTTGTTTTTGTGATAATGGAAATTGAATCCCAGCCCTTTTATTTATTTACTTATTTGATTTTGAGACAGTGTCTCCCTGAGTTGCCCAGGCTGGCCTCAAAACTTGCAATCCTCCTGCCTCAGCCTCGTATGCAGTCAAGGTTACTCTTTTAATTAAAAAGAAAAAAGTGATTCTCAGGCTGCATGACTGTGGTGTATCCAGATTGAACAGACGAGAAAGAGCGTGAGAGATTGAGTCTTGGTCCCAGGGTGCCCAATCCTGCACCTGGTCTACACCCCCAGGCAGGAAGGGGGCCTCGGTGCCCGGGAGCTGCTCCCTCTTCCTGTGCCCAGTCAGGGCCCCTGGTGGATGCCGCTCACTGCCTGCGCACTTCCAGGTAGATGGGGAACAAACTGAAATGGGGAAAAGAAAAAACTCCCTGAAATTCGCCAGAAAAATGTTTTAAGAAGCAGCATAGAATTTTTGTCTTCCAAATCACATTGTGATTATATCTACCTCCAATTTAGAAAAGCTAGAAACATAGGCAGAGACACTGCACATCAGCATTGTCTCTGGCACTGTTAACCAAAGGAGGAGGTACTAATGCGACTCTCACGCCCCGCAGCGTCATCTCAGGGTCCCTGTCCCACGGGGAGGCCAGCCACGGCCTGGCTGACCGAGTCATTAACTGCAGAGAAGTCCTGGAAGCCTTCAACCTCCTGGTGCTGCAGGTCAGCTCCTTCCCGTACACCCTGCAGACCCAGCAGTCCCGGATCAGCGCCAGCAACGAGGTGCACTGGACCCAGCTGGACGGCGCGGTGAGTCCCAGACCCCAGGCAAACTCAGTCTGAGGTGTACAAGGTCCAAAAAGAGAGCCAGAGTTCAGACCTCTAGCACAATGCTTCATCTTCTCAAAGTCTTGTACCATCATAATTTTATATGTGGGGGTGCTACCATATTGTGCAGTCTGGTCTTCAACTTCTGGGCTCAGGATATCCCCCTGCCTCAGCCTCCTGAGTAGCCGGCACCACAGGCATGCAGCCCTGCCTGCTGATTGCAGCTGTTAGGAAATTAAAAACCAGTGAATAGTGTCCTAGAGAAATTCCACCAGGAGTCCTTTTAGGTGTCAAGGTAGAAATTTATCTGGCCTCTCTGGCATTTTAAGTATGATGTTGAAGGAGTCACCAGTCTTCTGGATGGAACTTTGTGCTTGTGCATGATTAATTTCACTCAGACCTGAAAATTTCCTTGTCCTCTTGGGTGGCCTCAGTTTAAGTCTGACTGACCCGTGGCACCGGCACCAGCATGGCATCGTAATTACCTTCCGCCCCTCCCAGCAGCTGAGTCTTTCCTTCAGTCAGTCTCTGGCCTCTGACCACAGTGTGGGCACAGCACTGTCACCAGAAAGAACTCAGGACCTGTGCCAAGTGTGCTGGGACCTGCCATCCAGGTCTATTTTTTTTTTTTTTTTTTTGGTACCAGGATCAAACTCGAGTCCTTGCACTTTCGAGGCAGGCGGTGGAACCACTGAGCTAAATCCCCAGCCCTGGTCTCCCTGTTTTTTGACTCCAGCCCCTAATACCTCAAAAATACTTTCTGCGACCTATTAACTATATACTAATATACCATAAAAAAGAAATAATTTCATAAAAATAATAAAGATTAAAGTGGGCACAATGCTGCATGCCTGTAAGCCCAGCACTTTGGGAGGCTGAGGAAGGAGGATTACAAGTTCAAGTCCAGCCTGAGCAACTTATTAACTTAGCCAGACCATGTCTCAAGATAAAAAATAAAAAGGGCTAGGGAGGTAGCTCAGTGCAAAGGCTCTGGGTTTGATCCTCAGTACTGCAATTAGTAGCTATTAATCATTGATATTATCCCTAATATTGATGACTAAATATCCTTAGTATAAAAATACTGAACACATTGGACATTAAAAAGTAAAGGTATTTAAGTAAAAGACACTAGAAGCGTCTTGCATAGTAATACCATTTCTGTATCACCCCAGTGCATTTCACTGTTAGGAAGCAGCCTTTGCCTCGCTCTTAGGTCAGAGCCTTGGTTTGCTCTTTGCCGTCAGCAGGCTCCATGTTCCCCTCAGAGCTGTCCCCAGCCAAGGGAGCAGGCGGACGAGCCTGGGCTGCTCTGAACCGGGTCTGCAGTGGGCAGGACAAGCGTGTGGCCGGCTGTCCTTATAAACATGTCCAGAGACAGTGAAGCCAGCACCAGAGAGACTGCTGCACACACGCGTCCACTCCGCAGGATCCGCAACAGCCAGGAAACGGAAGCAGCCTGAGTGTCTGACGAGAGGTGGACAGACAGACCGCACAGTGCTGGCTCGATGGAGCAGGGATGACATCCTGCCCCTGGCAGCGGTGTGGATGGGGCATTAAGGGAAGTGAGTCAGGCACACAGTGAGACTCACTGCACGTTCTTGTGTGGGAAAGCTGAAAAGTCCACCCCAAGGACGCAGAGCGCACAGTCGTGGTCACCGGAACCTGGGGAGGCTGGGGCAGAGCGAGCCTGATGCAGGGCACAGGAGCGGCTGGGCTGGAGGGGGAACTCAGAGTTCTGAGGTGCTGCCCACAAACAGCCCAGAGAGCCAGGGAGAGGAGCGCGATGCGACAGGAGTGGCCATTCCCTGACCCCTCTGTGCTGTCCACCTCACACCACCCCAGAGACGCCTAGTTTCTATAGCAATTAAAAGAGACGTTTTTCATTAGTTTTTTAATCCAGTGTGGTGTTCCAGTATATTTTGGGGGTACAGGAAAAACACCCTAACTTACCCTGTTCGTTCAGTCTTTCCTGAGGGGATCACCCCGCAGCAGGAAAAGGCCTAATAGTTCCTGTGCTTTTATCTTCTCCTGCCTGAAATAATAGACAGACTTAAAGTGACTGTCCTGAAAAGGCATTCCTCTGACTATGGTTAACTTTCAGGTAGAATAATGGTATTGTGTTATATTTTTAAGATTTCTTTTTTTGAGACAGGGTCTCACTGTGTAGTTCAGATCAGCCTTTAACTCACTAGCCCAGTCTGGCCTTGAACTCCTGGTGATCCTCCTGTCTCAGCCTCCCACGTGCTAGGATCACAGGTGTGTGCTGCCACGCCCAGTGAAATACGTATGGATTAAAAATATGATTCAGGGATTTATTCAAAGTAACTGAGGGGTAAGGAATTGTTATTCTCTTCTGTAACAGAAGATTTAAGAAGTCATCCCCATGGAATTGAGGTCCATATAGAGAAAAGGAAAACCATATTTCGTCCACGTTACACACATTGGAGAGAAGCTCATGACAACTCTCTTCCTTCTGTCACCCTGAAGCCAGTGTCCTAAAGGAGGAATCACTGGAAAAGCAAAGCGCTCAGGAAAGCATCGCTGGGTGCCTGTGAATGGGTGGGCGTTTCCAAGCACACACAGAGAAGGGATGGCGAGGGGAGAGAGCCAGGTGCATCTCTGAGCAGGAAGTCACCTCCTCAGAGGACCCTGGAGGCTTCATGGAGGACGGCACGGCATGCTGGGGGCCTGGCCAGAGTGAGGGGACGCAGGCGCTTACCTGGGGCAGTCAGAGTAGGTGGGAGAGGCAGCAGGCACTTGGCAGCACGCAAAGGCTGCCGGGAGAACTCACACTGGGGCTGGGAGCATGGCAAGCAGGTTCATGCACCGCTCTGCCAGGAAAGGGTTTTCTTTAGCAAGGGCATAGTATCATTAGAATACATCTATTTTGGCCGAGGGTGTAGCTCAGTGGCACTGCGTCTGCCTTGTACGCAAGGTCCTGAGTTTGATTCCTGGTACCAAAAAAAAGAAGACATCTATTTCTTTTGTTGTTGGTACCAGGGGTCGAACTCAGGACCTTGCGCTTGCAAGGCAGGCGAGGTGCCGCTGAGCTTAATCCCCAGCCCACATCTATTTCTTTATTTTTTTTATATTATCAGCGTAATGTGCAGCTGATGAATTTCCACAAACTGAACACACCCATGAAACCAGCACGCAGATCAAGGAAAAGAGCAGGACCCTCACCCAGAGTCCTGGGCACCCCACCACTGGTGGCGCTATGCTGGCCTCCCAGGACACAGTTTTGCCCAGTTTGGGACCTTATATACATGGAATCCTGCTGTATGCACCTTTTTTGTACCTGTATCTTTTGCTCAACATTACGTTTGCCAGATTTGTGTGCACTTTTCATGAGCCATAAAACATTCAGACTCAAACACAACACTGTGCGACTCTACCACGGTTTGCTGGCTGCAGTGGTGCTGCAGTAACTCCCTTAGGAATGTGTGCGTGTTTCTGTCAGGCCCCTGGTGAGACTGCCAGCCTCGGGTGCACACAGGAGAGACTGCAGTCCGAGGTCATCCGTTCAAGAAGAGATGGCTGGTCATTGGCTTTCCTGATCATTTGGGTTGGAATAAACAATACTTAAATCAAAAGAGTGGTCCTGGCCACAGGTGGAACGGGAAACATGGCAAGTTTTCTGGGATTTGTTATATGGGGGAAGTGAAGAGTCAGAATTCCTTTGGAGATGACATTTTTAGTCGGGGGAGGACTGGGGTGTGAAGGTCAGGACAGCTGGGACAGTGACTGGCAGTGCAGTGCGGAGTCACAGTCCGCACTGTGTGGATCTGAATAGTTTTTTGGGATTTTTTTCTTTTTTGGTACCGGGGATCGAACTCAGGACCTTGCGCTTGCAAGGCAGGCACAGGCGCCACTGAGCTAAATCCCGGCCTGAATAGTTTTTCAAAAACCATGATGACAAAAGGAGCTGCTGTGGATAAAATTGTGGAGGAAAGTAATGCAGAGATCGGCCAGGGACTGGCGAGTGCGCTGGATTTGGCCTCAGGTGTCCATCCTTGGTGACCTTGCAGGGGCAGTGACAGGGAGTGGAGCGCTTGGCTGGAAGAGAGGGGCAGAGGCGGCAGCAGGGGGTGGGGAAGAGCTGCAGGGAAGTCACCAAGGCTGCAGGAAGGGGGGGTTCTGTTATTACAACAAGGGATATTTCCCCCCCACTAAATGCTAATTCAATAAAACCCCATGGCTTATGATACTGAAACATGTCTTTAGGGTGAAACCACTCTGAGCTTCCTAACTTCTACTGCGAGGATGGCTCCATTCACTTCTGTCACTACTTTTGCAATGTTACTAAAGCCCCAGGTGCTCTGTGTTCCAAGCATAGCAAGGTAGGGAGGCTGTTCACCCCCACTTCCCATTTTGAGCACACCAGAGAGCCACCTGATCACAAGGCATCATTGAACAACCGGCCCTATCGTTCTACTAATTGCAAAGGAAAAGGGAGGACAGCAGTGTCCTGCCAGCAAGTTGTAATGTTGCGTCAGGAAGAGGAGCAGGCATGCAGGAGGATCCCCTATGTTCCCCGGAAACGGGGCCCAAGACAAGCGGGGAGGACACACGAGACACGGCTTCTCCCAGTGGCTCTGCTCCAGTCCCCACGTGGAGGGAAGCAGCAATGAGGGATTTTGCTCCTGCAGTGACTCACATGACCCAGCCATGGGGCACAGAGCTGAGCCCAGGAGACCGGCATGGCCTTGAGGGCCTTAGAAACTGATGCAGCTCAGCCTGTGCCCCGCACCTCCGGAATCTGGAAGGGCCCCTCTGGTCCTCCAGGGGGCCGTTTACTCTCACTCGAGGCCCCACTCCCACAAGTGGACTTCATTGGTTTGGGGGGACATCGGAAAACTAAAAGCTGCCAATTCCACAATGCCTTATTTCTAGCTATGGATCCTGTATGTTACTGAAAAGCTCAGAACCAAATTTGTAGCCCACTTCTCATCAGTGTGCAGAAACTTCCAGCCTGCATCTGTGGGAAAACTGACTTCATCCCTGGCCCAGTCATTTTTCTTTAGCTTTGGGCCAGGGATTTAGCTCAGTGGCACTGTGCCTGCCCCGAAAGCACAAGGTCCTGAGTTCGATCCCTGGTACCCCCCCCCCAAATTTTTTTTCAAAGCTTAGTTATAAGTTAGAGCAATTGAAAGAGAAATACATGAATACATTAATAACAAAAAGCCACTCGAGAACACAGGCAACCTGACAAAAATTACTACAAAAAACTACTGCAGGGAAGAAGCAAGAAAACTATAAATAAAAAATCCATGGGCCGGGGAGGTAGCTCAGCAGCACAGCACCTGCCTGGCAAGTGCAAGGCCCTGAGTTTGATTCCTGGTACCGAAAAAAATTCCATGAAGTAAAAAGTTGATGTAGTGCTCTGGGGCTACTTAATGGACAGGCAGCTGTCACACCTCTGGGGACCTTCAGAGGGCATCTTCGAGTGACATCCTAAAATAGTTACGTATTTTCAGAGCCTTCCACTACCACAGATTAAGTTCACTGGAAGGGAAAAGGATTTTCAGCCCTAGCAATGACTGCAGAGTTGTCTTCAGGTTGCGTAAGGGAACACATTTGTTTCCCAGGAGATGACCTCTTCTGGGGTCCCCGCACAGCCCATCCCCTGACCTCATGGGGTTTTGCTTTGTGTCACACAGGAGGACGTGGGCTGCGAGGAGAAGCTGTACTTCGGCCTGAATGAGTACAGCAAGTCCCTGCAGTGGGGTGTCACCAGCCCACTCCTGCGGTGCGACGAGACCTTTGAGAAGATGGTGAACACGCTCTTAGAGAGGTAAGCGGGACTTCAGCCCAGCTCTTCAGCTGCACTTGCGGATCTAAAATAGTCAGATGCCTTTTGTGGACATGCCTCGGGGAGCCTGATGGAACCCATGCAGCTGATGCGAAGGCCAGACAAAAATAGACTTTCCTGGGATGACCTGTCCTGTGGGTTGCTGTGGTCACGGAGACAGACAGAGGACAGCAGTGGCCCACCGGAGCACAGGGCGCCACTTCTGGGCCGAGCTGTGTCCAAACCAAGCTTGCTACGGCCAGAGATGGACAGGTCCGAGAGGGCTCGGCTCATTAAAGGCCACCCCGAGCCTGCACCTGGGCCGCTGCTTTTCCTTTTCCCTCCTCTGCAGACCAACGGCCGCATCCTCAGAGGACAGCGTGAGGGGAGGCGTCTGAGTGATCCACTCTGCGGCCCTGCCCCAGCCCTGACCTCAGTTAGGGACTGAAGATAAGAATTCTGTCTTGTTTTTGTCCTTGGTTCTGGATCAAATTCCCAGTCTTTTCTTCTCTGACCTTGAATCATGGACCCGGAGTAGCAGAGCTGTTTACCTAACCCCCAGAGGTTCCATCCCAACATGCTGTTTATCATCAGTGGGGGTGGAGTGGCCCACACAGCCTGATTTGTCATTTTCCCCAGTGCTTTTTCCTAAAACTGGCCCGATTGATCACAGGCCATCTCCTGAACAATCTGCTCTATGATTTGGCTAATAGAAAAAGAGAAAAAAATTAAAATGAGGACAGTGGGTCCACCCTATCCAGGTTAGAATGCTGCCAGGAGTGAGCAGGTGTAGAGTAAGATTTGATATTTTTGCAGATATTTAAGATTTGAGAAGTCTTAACTGACACTGCCATTAATCTTCTTTTAGAACACGTGATTTTAAATTCCCAAACTCATCCCTGATTCTTCCTTTCAAAAGTTTTCCACCTACCAACTCCATCTGCCAGCCTGAAACACATCTTTCTTTCCAGTAATATCAGAGTTTCAGGACTTTTATTTTATTTCACTGATTGATTAGTTGATTTTTTTTTTTTCAGTATTGGGGATTGAACTCAGGACCTTGTGCTTGCAAGGCAGGCACGATGACACTGAGCTATATCCCTGACTATTAGTTTTTTTGAGACGGGGTCTTGCTGTGTAGTTCATAGTGGCCTCAAACTTGCAGCAGTCCTAGTGCTTCAGCCTCCCAAGTGCGGGGATCTACAGGTGTGTGTCACCACACCTGGCTAGAAATTATGTTCCATAGGATGGTCCCATCAGCTTCTGTTTACAACTTTTGTAATTCTTTTTTTTGATCCTGGGGATTGAACTCGGGACCTTGCGCTTGCAAGGCAGGGGGCGGAACCACTGAGCTAAATCCCCAGCCCCTATAATTCTTATACGCAACTACAACTGTAGTTTCATGCAAACAAAACAGATTGAGGAAACTACTCACTTTTAAATTTAACACTCTTTCAAAGTATGAACTCTAAATGCCTGTAGATCAAGTTACTGTTTATTCTTTGAGTTTTTACATGGCCGAGCCAAAAACAAAAACCCCGAGCCTTCGACATGGACCACCTCTGCCTGCTTGCTGCAGCACTGTGCTCCAGTACTGGGCTGAGGCTTTCTTCGCTTTTCCCCACACTACTGACACTCAGCTGTGACTGGAGACACCTCAGAGACCCGGGTGCACTCAGACCCATCTCTGCCTCTGGCCAGGTGTAGGCCTGGGCTGCAGCTGAATCTCGGCCCCTTAGCTCTTGCTCCCATGAGGCCGAGTGGTTGGGACACTGGCACGTGTGTCCCTGTCCCCTGCAGCACCCACTGGGCCCTAACTGGTCTGTGCCACTGGGCCTTTCTGTGTGACACACTTGCATTTTAAGTGGAAGCAGGGAGTGGAGCAAAGGTGAAATCCCCCTGGGCCCACTGGGCAGGTAAGTGTGCTCCCCACTGGCAGCCGGAGAGAGGAAGGGCACAGTGTGGCCAGGCTCTGGGGTAGCCGTAGCCAGCCCAGCCTGGCCCTGCTGCGCCAGCACCGGCTTCCTCACTAGCACCTCTGCATGCCACAGGCCTGCCATTTTCACCCGTCTTGTCATTAGGCCTGGCTTTCTGAGGAATCACAAGCACCTAACTGAGAGGTTTAAGTCAGGCAAGGTGGTGCACACCTACAATCCCAGTACTCTGGGAGGCTGAGGCAGGGGGGCTGCAAGTTCCAGCCCAGCCTGGGCAACTTAGTGACTTGGTGAGACCCTGTCTCAAAATTAAAAAGGACTGGAGCCGTAGCTCAGTGTGAAGGCCCTGGGTTTAGTCCCCAGTACAGCGAGGGAGAGGGAGATTTATTTTCTACTTGCTCTGTGATTTTTTAAACTGCCGGTGTGAACAAAGTGACCCTCTCTTCCGGGGGTCTAGGTTTGCTCCAAGCTCCCATTTGTGGGGCTGGGTGATAAGAGCCACACCGCCAGGTGCACTCTTCCCCCAGCAGCTCCCGTTTTCTCCGGCTCCGAGGCACACTTTAGGGGAAGAAACAGTTCTTGCCATCTGTGGGCCTTTCGTCCCGACCCAGCCCTCCCCGTGCTCTGCAGGTACCCCCGGCTGCACAGCATGGTGGTGCGCTGCTACCTGCTCATCCGGCAGTACTCCCAGGCGCTGATGGCACTCACCACCGAGGCGTCGCTCCGGGACCACAGCACGCCCGAGACACTGAGCATCGTGGATGACCTCCTCGGCTGCCCCGGGAAGGGCGCCAGTGGCCGTGGGCACATGCTCATGATCAGGGTGCCCTCGCTGCAGCTGGCCATGCTGGCCAAGGAGCGGCTGCAGGAGGTGCGCGACAAGCTGGGCCTGCAGTATCGCTTCGAGATCATCCTGGGGAACCCGGCCTCGGAGCTCAGTGTCGCCACGCACTTCGTTGCGCGATTAAAGGTTAGCAGGGCGGACTGTCCCCTCTAAAATCTCTTTGTTCCTGCTTTCTAGGAAGCCTCCCTAGGTGGCTCGAGGGCCTGCGTTGAGTAGACTTTTGCACATGGGTGAATTTGAGCCCCATGCCCGTGCTCAGCTAAGGGACATCTTTGCTGTCTTACCCGGAACTAGTTTCTCAAGCTCCAGTCGAGCCTGTGCTAGCGCATGCATGCAGGTGGTCTCCCGGCGCCCCAACTGCAGGTTCAAAAAAATGAGATGACTCGGTTTACCTTGTTCGAAATGCATCTAGCCTCCTCCATCTCGGATCTCGACCCTCTGTGGGATACTGATTACTCACTAATTCTCTTCTGTCTGCTTGGCCCTCTGCACTCATGATCTCCATACACACCTAGATCTACTTCTAGCTCTCTCCTGTGTGGATTCCTCAGCAATCCCTTGTTTTGTAGGAACTTCCTTTGACCCTCAGCCCCAGGCTTTGGCTGGACTGAGACGTAACCAGGCGTCCTACAGAGGGACTTAGTGCATGACCGAGCCCTTGCTGACCCCTCTGCCCGACCATGGACTGTGTCCCCACCCCTTGCCTTCGGGCATGAATGGCCTAACCGGACCTCTACCTTAGGCCTGGCTGCGATTTTTCTGGGGGCTTGTATAATCCGGTGTGTCCTAGCCATGAAAATCACTTGGTCAAATACCCCCATCCATGGAGGTATGGAACCACGTGAGTTAGACCGACGTAAAAACTGCACCCTGCACTCTAAATCCTAACCTGCAGGCATTAAGAAAAATCTAGCGCGGGGACTGGCTCTGGGGCTCGGTGGCAGAGCGCTTGCCTTGAATTACAAGGCCCTAGCTTCCATCCCCAGCCTCACAAAAATAAAAATTTAGTTAGGCATAAACTTTATGAAAAGGAAGCAAGGGCTGGGGATTTAGCTCAGTGGTTTCACCTCCTGCTGTGCGAGCACAAGGACCCAAGTTCGATCCCCGGGTACCAAAAAAAAAAAAAAAAAAAGGAAGCATGCTAGTCTTTGGAGATTTGCAGGAGTTTCCCATTTGCAAAGTGAGAGAGTTGGACTGTACGCTTTCTAAGAGCTCAATTCTGATTATTTTTATTTAGTGTCCATAAATCATTTTTGTAAATTAAAGCTTACTGTATAGTTAACATAATAACATGGAAAACATGTTAGTTTAATAAGAAACTGGAATAAATAAAATTGCCCAAAATAGAAACACCTATATTTAGTAGTAATTGTAATAATTCTATTTCAGATACAGGGATATGTTCATAATTTTAAACTGCAGGGGGGGTTCTAGGATGAAGGAACTCCCAAAGCCCTTGTCACAGGAGGGCCAATGCTAATGAGGAGCTTGGAGAGGCCGATCCTCAGCCCTCACAGCCTGGCCGGGTGGGTGCGGCTCCTTCCAGGCTGGGCCATTTGTCCTAAAGCCCCAGTGCCTAAAACAGTGCAGTCGCCCAGCGCCATACCCAGGGCCTAGCCCTTCCGTCCCTGCAGGGCTTTTAAGAGCAACTGGTCCTGGAGGCCGGGGTTGAGGAGCACTGATCTGAGAGCAGGCCCTGCCCAGAGAGCCTCAAGGGCTGACTTCTCAGTTTGGACGAGAAGCTGTGAGCTGCCGTGGAAGACCCATTTCCTCCAGGACCTGGGTCAGTCCAGCTCCTTTTCCTGCTCCACGCGTGGGAGTGGGAATCCAAGGCCACACCTGGAGAGGCTCTCAGAGGGACTCCGGCCAGCTCCCTCCTCTGCCCTGCTCAGGGCAGTGAGGGCACCAGGGCCGAGCTCTAACCCTGGCCAAAACCCAGCCCGCTTCTGTCTAGTGATCTCATTTCCATCTTCCCATCTCCTGCTGTGTGTCGCAGTCCACTTACAAGTGATGACAAGCGCTTTGGGAGGGTACAGGTTTCAACACGAACAAATCAGCTCCTCCAGGAGGCCGGGGAAGCTTTCCTAAGATTTCCCTAATCTCACGCCCCATCTGATGCCGGAACCCAGGGCACGGGCAGGGCTCTGTGGTGTCCATGCCCCTGCAGTGAAATGGTCCTGTGGGTGTGGGGATCCACGGAAGACCCGACTGCTGGTGGGCTTGGCAACCTTGGACTGGCCAGGAGCCAAAGTGAGACGTGTTTCAGTCTTTTCAAAATAAATCTCCTGCTTAGTAAAAAGTGACCCCCCCTTGTCCCATGGCTGTGCCCAGCCTCATTACCTTGGTGGGAGCCATGCAGGGAGAGGTGTGGACGAGGGAAAGGCCTGCCTGCTTTATAAAGCCTGATTCTCCTTCATTTGGTCTTTTATAGACATCAACAGATCTTTACGTAGTTTCTTGGCCGGAAGGTTTCTTTTTATCACATTTTGTGCTTAGCACAGCGAACACTCTATTTGCAAACAACCCTACACATTCCCAAGCACCTTTCTTCTTAGTCCTCCTTCCTAAAGCATTATCAGTCTGTTCCTATAGCAACTCCTGCTGGAAAGCTGATGTGAAGCACGGTGAGATACATACTTGTAAGACAATTTTTCTCTGTTCTAAAATACAGAGAAATGGGTCAGGGATTTAGCTCAGTGGTTCCGGTGCCTGCCACGAAAGTACAAGGTCCCAAGTTCGATCCCTAGTACAAAAAAAAAAAAAAAAATACAGAGAAAACTTTATAAGATCTCTTTACTTCTGAACAGCTTTCAGTTGTTTTTTTCCTCTTCATGTTTTCAAGACTGACGTTCCAGCGAGGGGAGCAGCTGGGAGGGGAGCACTTGCTCACTATGCATGAGGCCTGGGCTGAGGTCTGCTTACTAGAGACAGCGCATGTCCGTGCACATGTGTGTTCATGGATGTGAGGAACCAACACATGGTAGATTTTGCAAAACCCTGAACAAAATGCATTACTCTCCCAATAAGGGTGGTTTTTATTTCCTTGATCCAACCAAGCCATCCTATATTTTCAGCCTATTGCAAGAGACTCCTTGGAGACGCAAAGCCAATAATTGGCAGTTAGTTATTTTTGAAGTCAGTAATGTGAAAAAGAGAAAAAATAACCATCAGAGGCGGCTGATTTCATTATTTTCTTGGTGAAAATGTCTGTTTTTTTGATTTTTGGTACCAGGGATTGAACTCGGGACCTTGCGCTTGCAAGGCAAATATCTGTTTTGATGGCGCTTTGAAACTGTCTTCCTGGGGTCCATCTCTGATGAAGGCTTAGGCGGGAGCCAAGGCGGGAAGCTGGGAGGGTCTGCACCTCAGTGTAGGTCTTTCTCAATGTCTCTTCCTGGCCTGTGTGGATGGTGTCTGAGGTGTCCCAGGGTCTCCTGTTTTGAGAGTAAGACCCAAAGGCCCCATTTTCCCAGGTGTGTAAGGCAGCAGTCAGAACACGCGAGCAAAGTAGAGATGCAGAACCCTGAGAAAGGCAGCAGCTCAGGAGTTGGAGTTTTCACGGCATCGTGTGAGTTTCTCCTACAGACTTGGCGAGGAAACGAACCGGAGGAGTGGACGCCGCGGACGTACCAGGACCTAGACGGGCTGCCCTGTATCGTGATCCTGACCGGCAAGGACCCTCTGGGGGAGACCTTCCCCAGGTACAGTGTGGGCCGCCTATGACAGGCAGGCTTGGCGGTGCCGGCTTGCTGCGCGAGTCTGGCGGGCACTGGGGGTGGTTAGTGCAGGGGTGTGGAAGGCAGAGCCCTCTGCCATCAGCCACTCTGTGGGGACTGGAGGGAGCCACATTCGGGAAGAGCCGATCGGAGGAGCAGGCACCAGAGGGGTTGAAAGGAAAAGCAGGACTTTTTTAAGTCTGCAACAGTGGCAGCTTTAGTTGAACGCTACGAAATGTCCCTTCGAGCCCATGCTGTTGTCTTCTTGAGAGCTCAGCTGGCCTGAGGCCCATGGCCTTCACTGCCACGGACCCGCAGGCTGAACCCGTGCCTTCCCCCAGGTCTCTTAAGTACTGTGACCTCCGCTTAATCGACTCGAGCTACCTGACCCGCACGGCCCTGGAGCAGGAGGTGGGCCTGGCCTGCTGCTACGTCTCCAAGGAGGTCTTGCGGGGCCCCACGGTCGCCCTCGACCTCAGCGGGAAGGAGCCCGAGAGGCCGCTCACCGGCGACAACGACCCCGAGGAGCTGCTCATGGAGCTGGAGCGGCCGCAGAGCAATAGCAGCGCCTTCACGGGGACCTCGGGTCGGTGCTCTGCCCACCTTTCCTGGAGGGGGGAGGGGACACTGAGTCCCGGGACCCTCGGTATGGCCCTGGAGACCGCAGCAGGGAGACGGGGCGCTTGGGAAATGGTGACAGCCCCAGCCTGCAGCGTCGCACCTTGGTGACTCTGCATCTCATGTGCACAAGGGCGGGCCTGAAGCTGTGAGTGGCTTAGTCCTTGACACAAAATGTTCGCATGAATGAGTGAATGACTTTCCTAAATACCCAGCGGCAGAGCTGGGCATGGTGGTGCACACCTGTAATCCCAGCACTCTAGGAGGCTGAGGCAGGAGAATGCAAGTTCAAGCTCAGCCCGAGCAATTTAGCAACTTAGACACTGTTGCAAAATAAAAGGGCTGGGTGATGTAGCTGAGCGTATCCCTGGGTTTGACCCCCAGTACTGGAGGAAAGGAAAGGGGGAAGGAAGAAAGAATAGAATGTATGCAAGTCCAGAGATACAAAGTGCAACTGTTAACCCAGAGGTGAGCCCCCCACGCACTGACTGGGCTGCGTGGCCTCACGTGGCTGACGTGTCCTCCTGCTGGGGCGGGCGCAGAAGAGGCCCTCTCCCTCCGTTTGTCTCTCGCCCCTCGCCCCAGCCCTGGGCTCTTCCCTCTGAGGCACAAAGTGGAGTGCAGGCCAGGGCAGGGTGGCAGCACAGGAGGGCTGCGGAGGTGGCCGCCCGTGTCTCGAGGGTCCTCCTGCCACATTCTGTCCCTTCTCTTTGGCAGGGCGCCGCCTGGCTCTGATATTGGCGGCTCCGCTGAGTTCAGAGCAGGTGGCGCCCAGGGCAGTGGGAGCAGGGCCCGGCTTGACTCAGAAAGGGAGGCCCGGGGCTTCTCTCCTTGGGGTTCCAGGCAGGCAGAGGTCCGCAGCACGCTGGCCCACGGGGACTGCGAGATGCTCGGGAAGGGCACCTCGCCCTTGTGCCCTGGACACCCAGACCTCCGCCCTGGTCTGGAAATGCTTACCCTACGCCAGGGGCGCCCGGACCCGGGCAGCGCGTGCCATCGCAGGGGCCTCGGCTGTGGGGCCCATGTCCCCGAGGCTGGGGCGTCGCTGGATGCAGGCTGGGGAGCGAGGAGGGTGCAGGAGCCGGAGGGGCGCGGGCGGTCAGGGCAGCCGGGAGCCGGGCCACGCCAGCAGCAGCAGCAGGCCCGGGGTGGTGAGCCTTGTCCTCCTTCAGGTTCCGTCATGGAGAACGGGGTGAGCTCCTCCAGCACGGCCGAGCGCGCCCAGCGGCGGCCCCCGAGCCCCGGCCCGCAGAGCCCGGCCCCCAGCGCGGGCCTGCAGCCTGGCGACGCCCCCCGGCAGGAGTGCGACTCGCTGGGCCCCGCGCCGCCGCCACCCGCGCTACCGCCCGTGGTAATCCTGTCGCGCGCCGCCTACCGCCTGCTGGGCGCGTCGCCCCTGTCGGCCTCGCTGCTGCCGCACGCGGACGTGGCCTGGGTGAGCGCGCTGCGGCCACGGCCGCGCGGGGACGCGAGCGGGGAGGAGCTGTCGCGCTACTACCGGCGCTGGACCGTGGCGCGACAGCACCACGCTGACCACTGCCACAGGCCAGATGCCGCTGCCGCCTCGGGCGCATGCGCCGGCCACCCGCGCCGCCTGCTGCTTGCCGGGCCGCCGCAGGTAGGGGCGGGGCCGCCGCGGGTGGGGGCGGGGCTCCGGGGCCCCGGGTGTGAGCGCCCCTCTCCACCCGCACCTCCGCCAGGTGGGGAAGACGGGCTCCTACCTGCAGTTCCTCAGGATCCTCTTCCGCATGCTCATCCGGCTCCTGGAGGTGGACGTGTTCGACGAGGAGGAGATCAACGCTTGTGAGTGTGGGGCGGGAGACGCAAGCTCGGGGCTTAGTTTTTGAGAGGGTCTCGCTGTGAGCCCAGGCTGGGCTCCAATTTAGGAATTTCCTGCCTCTGCTTCCCATAGTGCTAGGATTACAAGCATGTGCCCAAGGCCCGGCCTGGGCTTTTCTTTCTTCAAGGTGTATTTTTTCCATGATCCCTTTAGGCTTAAGCTACTTTTTTTTTCTGGTACCGGGCCTCGAACTCGGGGCTGTGCGCTTGCGAGGCAGGAGCGGTGCCGAGCGCTCCATCCCCAGCCTTTAAGCTACTTTTGGATCATCCGCGTTTGAGTATCAGCACCTGCTAGCCACCCACGCCCACTTGCCTCTACCTTGGCCCTGGGAACGCGTTCCTAGCACTTACACCTCGGGCACCTGGAGGTGGTGGGTGCCGCAGGTGGGGAGCAGCGGCCCGGCAGGGCAGCGAGGTTCCGACCTGAGCGCGGGGCTGACAGGCCGGGCCCGACAGGCCGGGCCCAGGCTCCTGCTGCACGGCAGGTCTTAGAACCTCTTGGAAATCGGTTTCTTACAATTTCCGTGGCTGAGAGTGTGTGGAAAGCAGCAGTGGCGAAGCTACAGGACGTGGGCTGCCGCTGGTTTCGTTTCGAAATTAGGCCCCGCAGGCCTCTGGGCGGGAGTCTGAACCAACCGGGTTGGGCGCGCCTGCCTCAGCGTCCGGGCACAGCTGGGCCCCCCCGCCCCGCCCCGGGGTAGGGCTCACCCCGCCGTCCCGCTTCCTTCCTGGCCAGACCACGGCGAGAGCGGCACCTCGAGCCAGGCCGAAGGGGAGCCCTGGCCCGACCTGGAGAGCTTCAGCAAGGTGCCCTTCGACGTCAGCGTGCACGACCCCAAGTACAGCCCGATGAGCCCGGTGTACTCGGAGAAGCTGGCGGGCGTGAAGCAGGGTGAGCGCGTGAGGGGCTGCTCGGCCTTCCACACCCGCCTCCTGGGCCTGAGCGGCCGCGCCCCTGGCACAGCCCCCGGGGTGGGGGCTTCTCTGCGCGCCCCGGACGAACGGGTTTCCGGCCGCCACAGAAGCCCGAAAGGAGCGCAAGCCCGAGGAGCCCCGGAGGCGGGAGACGGTGTCCATGATGCTGACCCAGTACGCGGCCTACAACACCTTCCACCACTGCGAGCAGTGCCACCAGTACATGGAGTTCGCCGCCTCCCAGGTGCACCTCCCGGCCTGGGGGCGGGCGGAACACGGGCAGGCTGCTGGGCCCAAGGGCGCCCCGTCCGTGGAGTGGCTGCGCGCGGAGCCTAGACGCGCTCTGGGACTGAGGAAACCTGGTGTCCCGGCGCCTCGGGCCCCCGGCCGGCCGCAGGAGTGCACGGCCTGGTCCAGCTCACTCCGCTGGGCGACAGGGGCGCGGACATTTGCTGCAAGAGCCAGGGCATAGGCACACGGGAGACCAGCCCGTACTGTATCCACCAGCATTAAAGAAAGGCGAGGCGACAGCAGAGCCCAGAGCTGTCCCGGTTAGGTTCCGTGTCACCTCCTCAGATTCATCTCGATTGTCGTCTTGGCCCTGAGCACCTGGAAACAACTCTTGCTTCTTCGAGGCCTTGCTGAGCAGACCCCCGAACCTGCTTCTGCCCCTCAGGGCCAGGTCCTCACCCGTCCCCACCCTGCCTCCCGAAATATAAATGAAGCTGGGGGTTGGGGGTGGCGCACGCCTGTAATCCCAACACCTCGGGAGGCAGAGGCAGGAGGACCGCAGGTTCCAACCCGGCCTGGGCAACTCAGTGAGACCCTGTCTCAAAATAAAAAGGGCCGATGGGCCGGGGATTTAGCTCAGTGGTTTCGCCGCCTGCTGTACAAGCTCAAGGACCCGAGTTCAATCCCCAGTACCAAAAATAAATAGATTAAAAAATTAAAAAAAATAAAAAGGGCCAAGGATGCAGCTTGGTGCAAAGGCCTCCTTCCACCTCAGCACGACCACACAGGCACAGGCAGGCACTGGAAGGACACACTGAAAACTAGAACACGAAGCATCTTTTGTATCACATTTATTATCTTTTGTATCACGTTTATTTTCTTGGTGGGCTACTCTGAAATCAGCTCATAGTGATTTACAGAACATACAAGATTCCAATCCTGGTCTACAAATCAAGAGGTTTTTAGAAAATTTCTGGACTAAAAACCCTTTATAGTTTCTATGTGATTACAGAAAAATCCCGTATTTATGAAGCAAAACTAAAATGTAAGGAAGAATGATACTATTGCTTCTCTATGAAATCCAATATCTGGGTTCAAACTACTGGGGAAGCTGATAAAATTGCTATTATCCTTTCATTAAGCCACAAACTGTACTGTCTGCCTTGAAAAGAAAGTAAAGACCTATTGTCATTATTCAGAGATGGAACTGTCCAGCAATTTTAAAAATAGCTTAGATTTGTACTTAGCTTCAGAGGAGACAAGCTGTGGGCCAGATGACTTCACGAAACGTTCCAGCTCTGATATGGCCAGCAAAGATGGCCCCAGAAGGATTTAGCTCAGAAGCTGGCCAGGACCAGGGGCCTCGTGAACCTGCACTGATGCCCACAGGGTGCGGGACCTCACCCAGGCCTGAGCTAGCGCTTGTGGCCCCAGGGCCCAGCCCTGGGCTCCTGTCAGTGGCAGCTGCTGAAGGACAACTGACCCAATGGCCTGGGAGTGGACAGCTGAGCTCATCCTCCCCTCCCCTCCCCTTCTCACATGCAGATGTCAGACTCCACCCTCTATGCCTTCACGTTCTCCTCCTCTATGCTGGGAGAAGAGGTCCAGCTCTACTTCATCATCCCCAAGTCCAAGGAGAGTCACTTCGTCTTCAGCAAGCAGGGCAAGCATCTGGAGAGCATGCGGCTGCCCCTGGTTTCAGACAAGGTGGGTGGGTCGGGCGGGGCCTGCGGCACAGGACGTCAGGCTCGCTAGCTGCTCGCCTCTCAGGGTTTTACTCCCCCTGTGCTCTATCGTTTTGCTTCCTTTTCAGCAGAATTTGAATGCAGTCAAGAGCCCTATTTTCACTCCTTCCAGTGGTCGCCACGAGCACGGACTCCTAAACCTTTTCCACACCATGGAGGGCATCAGCCACCTCCACCTGCTGGTGGTCAAAGAATATGAGATGCCGCTGTACCGCAAGTACTGGCCTAACCACATCATGCTGGTGCTCCCCGGCATGTTCAATAACGCAGGCGTGGGTAAGGGGCTCCCGGGCCGGGGGGTGGGCGGGAAGCCTCCAGAGGTCCCAGCCTCTGCACAGGTCTGAGGCACCGGTCTGCTGCACCCAGGAGGGGTCCTGGGCTCTTCTGAGTATCGCTGCAGCTGGCTAGAACTGTGAATACACAGATGGCCAATGGGGACGCTCTGGCAGGCTGGGGCAGCATTATTGAGGTGACCCTGTGAACGCGCCTGGAGGAGCCTTTTCCTGGTTCCTGGGGGTTAAGAGCAGCGAGTCAGAGCTCTGACCCCCCTCTCCGGAGATGCAGGACGCAGCTTTCCCAGAGCCCATGTTGGGCGGGCACTCCCTGCGTGGTAGTTCTCAGGTTTTACCCCTCTCGTGTGGGCGCCTAAAGTGGGGCTTCACTGTGACTTATGTAACGTGGGTATCTTTTCATGTGCTTGCGGGCCACTGTGTATCTGTAGCAAAATGCGTCTCTAGTCCTTTGCCCATTTTTTCAATTGTGTAATTTGTTATTAGATTACAGAGGTTCTTTATATACTGGATTCTGGATATTAACTCCTCATTGGATATATTCCTTGTAAATACGCATAATTTATATATTCACTCATTTCATGGACTGCCTCTCCATTCTGTCCTTTGATATACAAAAGTTCTTTGCTGAATTCCAGCTTGTCCATTTTTTCTTTCACTGCCAAACTCAATGTCACAAACCCTGTGTTTTCTTCCAAAGGTCTTAAGTTTTAGCTTTTCTCTCTTTTTTTTGGTACCAGGGATTGAACTTGGGACCTTGCGCTTGCAAGGCAGGTGCAGGAACCACTGAGCTAAATCCCTGGCTTAAAGTTCTAGCTTTTAAGTTCAGGTCCTTGATCCCTGCTTCATTAATTCTTGTATATAGTGTGAGCGCAGTTCATTCTTTCGGACTTGGGCAGTTTGTCCAACACCATCTGTTGGACAGACAGACCTTTCCCCACTGAATGGCCTTGGCACCCTCATCAAAAATCATCTGACCATTTCGAGAGGCTGATTTCCAGGCTGTCTGCCTTTACAAAGTCATCCGGGCTGGGCCTGAACTTGTGAGCCTCCTGTCTCAGTTCAGGGTGCTGAGATTACAGATGTGTGCTACCATGCCCTGCTGGAGTTAAAACTGTTTTGGTAGGCTGTTCTTTTTTGGCTTATAAAAGTGCAACTAGTTTTTAGTGGTTTTTTCTGCAACACTGTTGAATTCATTTATTTCTAACAAGGTTTCTGTGGAATTTCTATTTTTTCCATATAAGACATGTTGTCTGGGAACAGAGATCATTTTACATCTTCCTTTGCAATTAAGATGACTTTGTCTTCCATAACTGTTCTGGCCAGTACTGTTTCAACAGAAATGGTACAAGTGGACATCCCTGTCTTGTCCCTGGCCTTGGAGGAATCTGTCTTTCGCCCTTGACCAGTGATGGTAGCTGGGTTTCCTATGTGCCCTTTATGTTGGGAAGACAAGCTACCAAACACTTGCTCTTGGGACACTAAATCTCAGCATTACCTTTGATCTAATCACGTTGTCAGGCTCCTCCATACACTGAATAGAATATTTTAGCCTGTTTCATTATCGTCTATATTTCATCTCATTTTAGGGTGGCCACTCATCAGATGTGGCCATTTCCCAGTGATCAGCATCTTAATCACTGATAACACTCGCCAATCTTTACCCTTCAGGTGCAACTCTGAGACACTGTCACCACCTTCTTAGAGGTAGGGATGCAAGGCTCAGTGTAGCTGCCCTGTGCAGGTCACATGGCTAGAAAGTCAGGACTGAAGCTCAGCAGCCTGTTTCCAGTCTATTCTCACTACCCCTTCCCTCTCTCTGGCAAAAAGCAGATCTAAGGAAGGGTGACAGAACTTTCTTCAGAGATGCTGCTGCCCATGTTGTGAGGGTGCCTCGAGCGGAGTTACATCAGTGGAAACGGCCTTCCCCTCACTGCAGCCCTGGCTGCACCCTAGTGTAGGGCCCATGGGTGGCTGTTTTCAAGCCTGAGAGCTTCCTGTCATGCTTGAACTACTCAGCAACAGCCTTATCCCATCAGCAAAACTGGCTTCTTGCACTACCTGAGTGCAGTTCATAGGCCTTCACCAGACGCAGAGACTCTTAACAGGCTGGCCTCCTGGTGCCTCACACTGAGCATCGGTTGGCAACCCCTGCATGGCCACCTGCCTGAGGAGGAACTGGCAGCGACTCTGGCCAGGCCGAGGGAGGATGTGTAGCCGTGGTCATGCTGCCTTCCAGGTGCTGCCAGGTTCCTCATTAAGGAGCTGTCGTATCACAACCTAGAGCTGGAGAGGAACCGCCTGGAGGAGGTGGGAGTCAAGCGCCAGTGTGTCTGGCCTTTCATCGTGGTGATGGACGACTCCTGTGTCCTGTGGAACATTCACAGCGTTCAGGAGCAGAGCAGGTAGTGATACTTCCAAGCAGTGCCAGGAAAGCAGGCCCCACACGGACATCAGGGAGACGGCTTTCGGGGGCCATGGGCTGTGCACCCCCCTGCCAGCACACTGTGTGGTGCCTCAGGCCTTTCCACCTAGACGCACAGGGACCATTTCTGCCTCACAGTGTTACTTAGACAATCTGTTGCAGCACCAGGATTTCTCTATAAAGACTGCTGCATCTGAATCAGAAAACCTGGCTCTAGCTCCAGCTCTGCCTCTTAACCATGTGGGTTCACAGTTGTCGCTTCACCTCTTGCTGAGTCCATTACCTGTTAAACCCTAGAGGGTGCTGCAGGAGGTCACAGGGCCAGGGTGGGCAGGGGTCCATGAAGACCAGGAAATGCTAAACACTGAAAAGCCCCACACAATAAAGAGCCCTAATATTCAGCAGTGTCCTCCCCGCCCAAAAGCACTGTACCAGGTGACCCCCGGGGCCCTTCCAGCCAGGCATTGTGTTTCTGCCGTGGGTTTGAAGCCAGTGACATTTTCACATAGGCCTTTATTATGACCGGAACTGGAAAGTGTCCTTTAGTGCTCCTAACCTCTGGCTCTTTGGTAACAATGGCTGGACTTCCGGCTTCAGGTGAGAAGCCCCACACAAAGGTAGCTGTTGAAGTCACTAGTGTGGGGCCACAGGGGCACTGAGCTGAACCCCCCCTTACTCTGGGGTAATGCGAAATCCATCAGCTCACTGTAGCTGTTCCAGCATTATGAGTATGTGATGCTGGCCCTTCATCAATGATCTTCTCTTAACTTTACCTTTTACAGCCAGTCTGTGGAAGCGGGAGTTTCCAGTAAGAATGTGTCCTTGAAGAGTGTCTTGCAGCATATTGAATCCACACCAAAAATCATCCACTATGCGATCCTGGGCATACAGAAATGGAGCAGCAAGTTGACGTCTCAGAGCCTCCGGGCCCCGTTCTCTAGGTGCCACGTGCACGATTTTATTCTCCTCAACATTGACCTGACTCAGAACGTGCAGTATGACTTCAACAGGTAGGCCAGACTCACAGAAGGAGGCGCGCCAGGCAGGGACTGATGCTCTGTGCCCAGCTCCAGCCTCAGCAGTGTTTTCAATCCCTCTGCATGTCTTGGGGCCTAAGGCCCCTCAGACTACCTAGGCCAGTGATGGCGAACCTTTCAGAGCTTTCAGTGATAATAAACAGCTGGGTATGGCACGAATACCACAGGTTCGCCACTACTGACCTAGGTAGGTCCTTATAATAGATGTTATGGTGTGAAATCCTTACAACACATGTTAGCCACCTCATTATTCAGCAAAACTAAGAGACACAAAAATGGTTGAATAGATAAAAATCTCTGTGTGGACTCATAAACAAGGCTAAGCCCTCATTCACCTTCAGAACTCCAGCAAATCACTTTGCCAAATGTAAGGCCCAGAGATCTCGATTCTGTCAGGCAGAGGCAGGTGGGAATGAGTAGGCTGGCTTGGCCGAGCCTCCTGAAGAAACCCTATCCTTTTTCCTGGAAAATGTGAACAGGGCAAAGCAGTAATGCCAGGGGCCGTAAAGTCCCTCTTCTGCCCCCCTCTAACCTGGCAGCTGCTGCTTCTACTCTCAATGTATTGAACGTGGCCAATGCTTTCTCCTGTGTGTAGCCAGATCTTCAAACGAGCACAGGGGCACACCTGCCACAGCACACAGTCCCGTTTCTGCACAGGATACCGAAAACCCTGTGAAACACGTGAGACAGAAATCACTTTCTGCTTCCGTTAATGGCTACACCACTGTAATCAGGGCTGTCTGACAATTCGGTGCAAAGAGCCAGCTCCAGCAGGGCAGGGTCCATTATTTGCGGGTCTCTCCTAACAGCTGCCACACAGTCTCTGTACACAGTTGTCGGGCTGTGACAGCTTTCAAAGAAACCCATCACTGTGGTTGTGATTTAGGTATTTCTGTGAAGATGTTGACTTTAACCTGAGAACAAACAGTAGTGGCCTGCTCATCTGCCGCTTTAACAACTTCAGTCTCATGAAGAAACATGTTCAGGTTGGCGGGCAAAGGGACTTTATCATTAAACCAAAGATCATGGTAAGTCTTGCATGCTTGATTCTGTTCAAAATAGGTACTGATTTTTTTTTTTTTTTTTGGTGCCGGGGATCGAACTCAGGTCCTTGTGCTTGCGAAGCAGGCGGCGGAACCACTGAGCTAAATCCCGGCCCCAGTACTGATTTTTTTAACTGGGCCACTTTAACATTTTTTACAATTTAATAGTTCTCGTGATAACTGCAGTTATGCAAGGCTGTTTGGTAGTGGTGAGAAGCATCACAGTAATGGTAGTTTTCCTGCCTGCAGTAATTGCAAGGAATGACGTGTGTGAAACTGGCCCAAACCAGGAAGAATGCACTCATGCGCCATCATTTTCAGGGCGGCCGGACACCCAGGCCTGTGTCCTGCACAGTGCACCTCTCATGAGTCACGCCCACTTGGTGACAGCACCTTTGGTAGTAACACCCACAGCTGGAGTGCAGAGGGGTTCTTTTCCTCACCAAGTCCTGCACAGAAGAAGGCAACTCATTCAGTTTGGGATGTGTCACCTGGGCCCTCTCGAGAGCTAGACCCACTGGCCTATGAATTTTTCCTATTGAAGTGCTCTCCTTAGCCATCTCTAGTTACCCTCTCTTTTGTACCTTCTTCCTCTTTTCCATCGGAGGAACAGTTAATACCTGTTTCTCCCTAGCACACACTGTGGGCAGAGGAACTTGCCATTTCCTGCCTTCTCTTCATTTCTGTTTAATCACATTGGAAAGCAGGGAAGCACTTTTGCTCCTGACTCCACTTCTCTATCCAGCACAGGCAGGTACTACTCCCTGTGAAGTCTTCATGGTTATTTTCACTGGGTGTTTAGCTTTTCATCCACCTTGACAGTCTTTTTCATTCATTTGTATTTTTTCAGCACCGTGTTATTTATGGTAAAACTTAGTCTTGAGGCCAATTTTTTTTTGAACATTCACAGGCTTTGACTTTTTTCTCTTGGTAATCGAAACAGTATCATAGCGTTTACAGTATAATTTGATATATTCACTTTCGTGGTGTGGTGACTGCTGCAGAGCCACTGCTGGTTGTGGCCTTCAGAGTAGCAAAGAAGCTCTCAATCTTCAGGCCTCAGAGGCCCATCGGCAGCCTCAGCTGGTGGGAAAGTCCAATAATGTCTCATGAGTACTGTACCTTTGTTACCAGATACTGGCATTATGGAATTCCTACTAAACCAAGGGAGATTTGGGGTTGTGTGTGTTGGGGGGAGGGGTACTGGGAGTTGAACCCAAGCCTTGTGAGTGCCACACAACTGCTCTGCCACTGAGCTGCACCCTCAGCCCTTTTACATTTACTTTTGTGTGTGTGTGGTACCGGGGATCGAACTTAAGACTTTGCGCTTGGGAGCCAGGCACAGCATCACTGAGCTAAATCCCTGGTCCAAATTTTATCTACAAAATTAAGATTAGGATATCTCTAAGTTGCCCAGGCTGACCTCAAACTTGTGATCTTCCTGCCTCAGCCTCCTCAGTAGTTGGGGTTACAGGCATAAGCCACCACTCGAAGCCCAAGTGAGTCTTAATGTCAACTGTGTGGTTGAGTTTCGGAGGACTCACCTGGAACTACAGCACAAATTCTGACCATTCGGTGAACCTTTCTGTAGATTTCAGCCGTAACCACTCCATCAGAGCTTCAGCTTTGAGATGGCATACTTCACAGCGATGTTCCTTATGTAACGCCTGAGGAAACATGTAACTCAAAATGTTTGCCTGGTCCTCTCCAGATTTTTTTTTTTGGTATCGGGAATTGAACTCAGGACCTTGCGCTTTCAAGACAGGCGCCAGAACCACTGAGCTAAATCCTCGGCCCTAGATTTTTAAAGATAATAATACAGTCCAAGCCCTGTAAAGAGAGAATCCCGTGGGCCACTCTAGAGATCTCCCGACATCTGGTCACTCACAGCACCAAGAACTACCCAGGGAAGCTTGGGAACCTCCGCCTCTTGGGATGGGCTTGGTATGAGACAGGAATCAACCCATATACGCCAGGTCACACTGTCAAAGACTTCCTGTTGGACCTTACTTTCAAAAAAGCCTACTCCCCACTTTCTCTTGCCCATTTTACATGTAACTTATGTTAAATACTATTGTATTGGTTATTCCCAAAAGTGGGAAATGTAGGACCAAAAAGTGAGTGACATACACTGGAACACAGTTTATCACTGTGCTGTTTGTTACCAATGCAATAAAGTGCCCCTTACTTGCGATTCTAATTATCCAATTATCCAAGGTCAGCCACAGCCTGAAAATATTCAGTCTCGACTCTAGAGAGACCACATTCACATTTACTGTTATCACAGGGTACTGCTACATTGTTCTGTCTCTTACTGTACCTAAGGTATGAACTGCACATGAGAAAACAGTCAGTAGAGGGCCAGTACTGCCTGCAAGTTCAGGCACCCCTGGGTCCTGGAACACAGCGCTGGGGCCTGTGGGGAACAATCCAGTGCCTCTGCAGACCGGCAAGGCACAGCTTCCCCATGCTCCATCCCACTCTTGCTGCAGGTGTCCGAGAGCTCAGCGCCCACCCTGCCCCTTCAGTACGTCTGTGCTCCTGACAGCGAGCACATGCTGCTGGCAGCCCCGGCGCAGTTCCTCCTGGAGAAGTTCCTGCAGCATGCCGCGTACAAACTCTTCCCCAAAGCCATCCACAACTTCAAGAGCCCTGTGCTGGCCATCGACTGCTACCTTAACATCGGACAGGAGGTAAAGGTGGTGGCTGGCACTGTGCTTACCCACAGTCACCCATTTCTTTCCACATCAGCTTGGTTTGCAAGTGTAAACAGTGACAGAAGGAAAGGTGACAGCGGCTCTCCCACCCGTCCCTCTCTTACCTGTGCCAAATGAGCAGTGACCACATACCACTTAGCCCGGGACACCTGCCCTCATGACCTGGGTGGTGGCACCTATTCAGGGCCACCTGTCCTGGCATCCGTGGGGCTGTCCTGTCGGAGGTGGCAGTGTCTCCGCATAGCCCACTGGAGCAAAGCAGGCCATCACACCCTTCCCATCTGTCACTCCTCTGCCTCCCACCTCTGGACTCCTGAGTTCTTCACCGCTTTTAAGTTTTTATTTTGTTAACTGCCACTTGTACTTCCAGACTTCTGCCATTAAGCTTCCTTGGGATTATTTTTTAGAGCTTTATCTACATTATCTTCATTAATGTAATATGTCCTCCTTATAATTGATCTCTTTTTGTTGTTGAGACAGTGTCTCACTATGTAGTTCAGGCTGGCCTGAAACTCCTGGGGATCCTCCTGTCTCAGCCTCTTAGGTGCAGGTATTACAGGTGTGTGCTACCACACCAGGCTTGAATCTTTAAAAGTTAAAAATGGACCCAGGCGTGGTGGGATACTATAATCCCAGCACTCGGGAGACTGAGGCTGGAGGATCACCAAGTTCGAGGGCAGCCTAGGCTACATAACTGGTGGAGACCCTATCTCAGAAACAAAACAACATAAACTAATAAATGGTATAAAGAAGTAAAATCACCTGTAACAGAAACAAAACATTTCAGTGCACCTCATCTCCCAGGATTTTCACTTTGTGTGTACTGACAGACACACAAGTCTATACACACTCTAACTTATCAAGTCCAATTTTAAGATTCAAGTGTCAACATTTTGCATTCCCATTTTTATGATGTATCAATAAGTATGCTGTGAGTTGGGCCATTACCTACAGATTTTCAGAGGTAAAAACCATCTGATGTAATAATACTCTTGATATTGTCTGTGCACATCAGACGGTAACCCAGGGCTCCCAATTCTACTACCGTAGAGTACCAGGCTCGCAGTATTACACAACATAGTCTTGCTCCTGTTAACAGCTGCTAACACTTACTGCTCACTAAGGGGTTTACAGGAATCATTTAATTCCCACCCAGACCCCGGAAACAGGGACTACTGTGGCCTCCACAGGTGAGCAACACAGGCACCGTAAAATGAAGGACACGCTCAGGGATCACAGCTACTAATGACCCCAAGCCAGCTGACCGGCACCTCTCACCACCCCACCCTACTAACTCCCACTATTTATTCACTGCCCTGGGGTTTCTGTCACTCATCTTCCATATACAGAAGCCACACAGTTGGAGATTTGGCTTAGTGGTTCTGCCATCTGCCTCGAAAGCGCAAGGTCTGGAGCTTGATCCCCGGTACCAAAAAAAAAGAAGCCATACAGAGCTAAAAGTTTAAATCCAAGCTGTTTAAAGCTTCTAGCCAACTGAAAACTTAAATATAGCTAGATGAAAAGCTGATTAAAAGTATTTTATTCTCACCATTAAGGTAATCTAAACACTTAATCTTTCATAAGTATGTCTTCCTAAAGGAAGGGTGGTTTTTTTTTTGTGTGGTACTGGGGATCAAACTCAGGACACATTGTGCTTTCGAGGCAGGCGCGGCCCCACTGAGCTAAATCTCCGGTCCTGTTGTTTTTTAGTATGAATCTGTCATACCAGTTCTTTCCTATGAAAAATAAATGGCCCTTTGGCAAAGTAAAAAGAGATCCAAAGCTTCTCATGGAGAAAGGTGCGGCCCTGCCCTTACCCCGACAGGGAAGCAGGGCTCTGCCCGTCTGACCTCGCTGTCTCTGCTTGCTGTTCGCAGGTGGCCATTTGCTACGTCAGCTCCAGACCACACTCCAGCAACGTCAACTGTGACGGGGTGTTTTTTAGTGGACTTCTCTTGTACCTTTGTGACTCTTTTGTAGGTGCTGATCTTCTTAAGAAATTTAAGTTTCTAAAAGGTAAACCAAATTTAGTATCTTGATTGTCAACATTACTGCTTTCTACCAGAAAAACATTTCAGAGTTGAAACACATCACAGATAAAGTCCTTTAATACTGAGTTTGACCAATAATCCAGGTACCCTAATTTTAAACCAAGGCCACTGACCTCCATAATTAGAAGGGGGGCTGTGACTTGTAGAAATTAAATAAATAAGCTTTTGTTATGTCCAATGCAGGTAAACATCCAGATTTGAGACCATAGTAAAGGGGTTTCTGCCCCTACTCATTTTAGAATGTTAAGTTGGGATTTTGGTACCAGGGATTGAACTCGGGACCTTGTGCTTGCAAGGCAGGCAGCAGAAACACTGAACTAAATCCCCAGCCCTAGAATGTTTCTCACATTCTCTAGTTTATGTAACCAGCGGACACATGCCACAGTAACGTGAATGCAATGGACTGCCTGGGCCAGAAATCAACTGCAATAAATTTGTGTAATTGTATCCCCAGACATAAACCTAGTTACAGTTCTAGAACAGGAACTAAAGTTATTTCAACAGATAAACACCATACAAAGAGTTAAATTTTCCTCAGAACAGACTGCAGATTAAACATCACATATAATCATACCAAGATGACCTTTGCAGTCAGTGAAGACAGCATGAGGGTGGGAAGTCATCTCCGAGGGCGGACAGTGCTGTCACCGGGGGCGCAATGGTGATGTCGGGATGGGCTGGGTGCTCACTGGAGGGTGCTGCTAATCGATATGCGGTGTAGCCCAGCCCTCCGCCCCACACGGAACTGCCCAGTCCCAAGTGGTAATGTACAGGGACCTTGTCCTAGGGACACACAAGAAACCACTGGTTACCACAGGCAAGTGGAGCTGTGGTTGAAATTTCTCCTGGCATACTCTCTTAAACTCTTGAAGTTGTAAAACTGCTTACCCAGAATAATGAACAATTCTGATGGGTTTCTTACCTAAGCAGCTGGTCCTCAGAGGTGTCAGCTTGGGACTGAGTCAGACAGAGGTGTCAGGTCAGGGTCCCCCTTTCAGCCCCAGCCCCTAAGACACATTTCTGCCTTTTTCTGGAAGGTGCTACCCTGTGTGTCATCTGCCAAGACAGAAGCTCCTTACGCCAAACAATTGTCCGCTTAGAGCTAGAGGATGAGTGGCAGTTCCGCCTTCGAGATGAGTTTCAAACTGCGAACAGCAGCGAAGACAAACCTCTCTACTTCCTTACTGGACGCCATGTGTGAGCTTTGAGGAAACTAAAACCAGCCAAGGGATGGCGAGGTGGGGTGGAACAGAAAAAACTGGGAATTTTTTTTCTTTAAAGTACAATCACTGTGGAGCAAAGTGCAACATACTTGTCTACTCTCCAAAGAACTCCCCAAATCTGACCCAGGTTTTTAAGGACATCACATCACTGTCCTTCAGGTCGTTATAGGACCTTTGGTTCAGGTGAACTCCATCACAGACAGTTACGCAGTGAGGACGAGGTCTGCCTGTGGGAGCCTGAGGAGGCAGGCATGGAGAACACACGTGGAGTCTGCATTAATTTTCTGCTACACCAAGTTGGGGGAAACTGTCAGCATTAGCTAGCTTGAATGTGTCACATGAAAGTCACACCACTGGTGTAGACAACTGAAGATGAATGTTTGAGGTTTGAGCCCTCAGTTTTTCTTCAGATCTGTACTTTGGTACAGTATTACTCAGGGGTCTGAAATGATAGAATGTAGAAGATATTTGTATTTAAAAAAGAAGTAGCTTTGTCTTTCTGTGCAGTGTTAGTTTAAAATTTATAATCTTATATGTATTGAAACTTTTGGCAAAATTTCCACAGGAGTTAAAAGTTTACTATTTAAATTGAACAAACAAAATCAGTAAATGCAGAGCAGGCATTGCTGCATTTATGAAGCTTCTCCTAGCTTAATTCCTTTGCTTGCCCCTCTCCTTAAAACTGTTTCCAGTCTTTAAGCACACCATGTCTACGAAAATGTGGAACGGTGATTAATCTTGTGCAAGAACCTGATTAAGTGCGATAGTTGGGCCAATTCAGACTCTCTCAGCAGTTAACCTGCACACAGCCTGGTTTGGCTGGAAGTGAACAACTGGCACCAGCAAACCTAAGTGCCAGGCCGAGGTTCTGTTGTGGAGTGGAGCTAAGTCATTTATGTCAGGGACTTTGGCAAAGCTTCCTTTAAAAGACAAACGGAGTGTTAGCTGCCGTACATGGACAACACAAATTGCTGAAGTGGGAAACAGCCATAGAAAGAGAACTGTTACTTCTACCATTGACTTTTTGGTGATGATTAAGAAAGATTCCAGGAAATCTTTTTGACTGTTTAAAATCAGCAGGTGGTATCTAACCAGTATCAACAGCAGTATGCTAAGTTTTTATGGGTTTCTCATCAAATACTGTAAATCAAAACCAGATTTTTACAAAGCATTCTAAAACAATTGGAAGTTTATACTTACCACTTCAATTTTTGTTCTTAAACAATCTGAGATTTTTCTCAGCCCATATGTATCACTTTATCCCCACTTATTACTTGAATCTGTCTTGCAAAACTACTGAGAGGCCTACAAAGCCTGCATTTGCTGAGAACAAATAGTATTAACTGACCAGCTTTATTATCTTTGATAACAAGGAGTTTAAAGCTAGTGAAAAGATGGAATGTATTAAGACAAAATAGATTCAGATCTCGTTTTTATTATAGCTACTTATGATGCTTTAAATGTATTTTGAAATGAACAATTCCTTTTAACCCTATTTTTAATTGTCCTTCAAAGAGGATCTGCCTTACATATTCTTTAAAATTACTCCATTTTAGTGCAGCTGAATTATTGGTGAAGAGGTACATTCTGAACAGCTGGGTTTAGGTATGAATGTATTTCACACGTCCCATTTCGTTAAAAGGGCCTGATGCAGGTGATATCGAGAATTCCACTGTTTGTGCAATATTCCGACATTAACTATATAGAGGAAATAAAATACTTGAAGTAATTCCAAACAATTATTCCTGGGGCAGATGGCTTCTCAAGAGTTTCTTTGGGCTTTATAGCTTTACAGTCTAAAGAACATTTCTTAAACATTACTTTAGATGCAGGTACTCCTTGTTAGTTGGGGCTACACTCTGAAAATTCAAATGATCATGAGCTCAAAACTACTATCCAACTCTGTGGAAGAGAAATGCCAGAAGAAAGCCAGAAGGCCATCACCCAGTAATGGAGAAATTTACACTGACCTGCCTATTCTTTCCAAATCCTATCGTACCGAGGTTTGGATCTTTTAAAATCATTTTATCAATGTCATTCTTTAGAGAATGTTAATCCTCTTGAAGGATAAAATTGCACAAGCACAGGATGCCATGGTCTGTTAATATATGTCTCAGTGTGTTCAGTGTTAGGCTTTTCTACCCTTTAGATACTATGTGGGGGGCGAATGGATTCCTGAGGCCTGTACAGTAACTTGCCTAGAGACCTGCTGAACCTCAGCATGTATGACAGTTCACACAGGTTAATACTGAATGTAAACTAAAGGTTAGAATGAAAATTGTTGTAGTCAAGTTGTTCCGGCTGTAATTTATGCAACTGCTTTTTGTGACTTTTAGAAAAGGGAGCACCTCTTATTTTATTACTGTAAAATTTTCTTAACCAAAATTTGGTGAATTTCACTAGTCAGTCTACCTCACATTTTGTTTATGATTTAAAGTTGTCTTGTGTCAACAGTATGTTCTTGTCCTTTAATTTGGTGAATGTATTAAAATTCTCTCCCATTCCCCACCCCCAAAGAAGTCTGCTTTCTTTCAACTACATGCGATGAGCTTTCTGACTCCAACAATGCCCAAGAAAGGCTGCAAGTCCCCTTATCGTAAGCTGGATGGCTCTGAGTCTGCTACTCTGCACAACAGTCAAGAAAGTGCTAATTAAATATTTGTTGAACAAACAAAAATCTGTAGCTTATACAAAGCAGATACATCCACATAAATCTACACTCATTTGCAGATTTCCACCCACATAATTATAGATGACGGATCTAGAAATTACTAGTTATCAGATACACTCACAGTGCACCCCAATCTTTTATTTTGTAGATGACAACTATACTCACTTTGTTATCCTGCTCCAAAACACAACTTTGGGTTGCTTGAACTGTGTAGTAGGATGCAAGGTGTCACGGTTCACTTTCCATTTATTTCTAAACTCCACTAATTTTACCAACTCTTAAAAATAAATAAAAGGAAAATATCTTTTTAGCTGTAATACACACAGAGTAATAACAGAACTTGACACGGAACTCATGGGCACATTCTTCTAGGCCAAAGTCCCCCAGCTCTTACCTCAAGAAGGGCAGTATTTCTAAGTCTGATGATGGACTGAGGAAAACACTGACTGCCAGTGTTCCTCTCCACGGTCAAAACAGCTGCCTGAAAAAGACAAACACTGATGGCCGATACTCACCTTCAACCACCTGAGGCTGGAATAACACCCAGGAACAAATGTTCCTTGGGCTTCTCTTTAGACAGGGAGACTGGCCCTTCAGCTTCCTCTGGGCTTAGGAGAATACTGCTACAACTGAAGCCCTGACCTCACAGAAAAAGCCATCGCTAAAGATGATTGCAGACATGGTCTGTAAGGTCAAAGAAAAGTCACTCACATCTACTTCAGCGACCACAACGCGACAACAGAGGAAATAAGTTCTAAGAAAGAAAAGGCAATACCAACAAATTGTTTTCAACCATTCCGTTGCATAAGTAGTCCTAGGTATTTTATTTTTGTGGGCAGGGGGCATAAAGAACTCTTTTCTGTTTTTGTTTTTATTTTTGCCAGAAGGCTCAGGAGCCTGAAAAAGATGGACCATCTATGTTTGCAGTCACTACCCCAATAATCAATTCAGCAACCTTAACCTGAGGCAGACTATGGCCAGACAGCAGTACAGTTGTCTTCATCCAGAGCGATGAATCCCTAGCTGGGCAGCAAAGCAAGGAAGAACAATTAAAATATCACTGCAGTGCCAGGTGTGGATATGCACACCTGTAAACTCAGTGCTCTGGGAGGCTGACAGGAGGATTACCGTGTCTGAGCCCAGCCTGGGCGACTTAGTGAGACCTTCAAACTAGGGGGGATCTTCCTCAGTGCAGAAGCCCTGGATCCAACCCCAGTACCACGAAAGCACACAAATCACTGCAGTCTGCTGTACTCATCAACTGCCTATAATAGTCATGCTCTTAGTAGATAGGTTAATTTCTTTTTTAATTCTGAAAGAAAACCACCACTGTAATCTCATGGTCCCTGTAATGTCTATATGCTAGACATTTTCATAAAGGTCCAACAACAAAAAAAACACCAATGAAGAGAATCGCCCTCCTCTGAGGCTTGGCCACAAGTGCTGGTCTAACCTCATGGCTGCCACTGCCTCCACAAACCATGGACAGCTCTTCCACCATTGCTGCTTTCATTCCGGGCTGCCATTGTGCTGGGAGGGTGTCAGCCATACCTTTTTTTTTTCCAATTCCTCCCTTGCCTTCTGCCTCTCTCCTGACTCAGGCCTTGCTCATTCCTTCTTAGGCCCTCTTCCTTGATGTGCATGCAGGATAGAGTTCCTCTAAATATCTCCTTTTCCCTTTCCAAACCCCAGGATGAACTCTTCTGAAGCTTCCAAGTAACTAAACTCATAAATGCAAAACCTCTCTCAAACCCTAAACCTGCATATCCAACTGTTCATCAGGCTCTCTCTTCCAGATGTGAACTCTACCCAAACTGGGCTGGGATGTGGCTCGTGGCAAAGTGCAGACAGCATGCATGAGGGTCCATCCCCACTAGCACCACTCTGCCCCAAAACCAAGACCCAAATTGAGCTCAGGCTTTCCCACCAATCCTCCCAATCTCATTCCCATGTATTCCCGTCAGTCACTCCCTACCAGGGGGTTCCCCAAACAAAAATTCCCACTTACCCGACACTGTGTGCCACTGTTCTTTTCTGGCCAGCTATAAATTCTGATCAGTCCTTCAGCTGTATCTTTTCACTGTGTACCCATCTCATCTTGGTCCCCACATCACAGCTTCAGTCCATTGTTTCAGCACTTTTCATACAGACCACTACAACAGTTTTGTTTTGTTTTAGCAGTACCAGCTACTGAACCCAGGGGTGCTAAGCTATGTCCCAACCCTTTATAAAGTTCTCCTTTGATACGGAATCTCGGTGAGTTGCTCAGCTGGCCCAGAACTTGCCTTAGCCTTCCTAGCTGGGACCACAGCTGTGTACCAATGACCCCAGTCAGTTTAACTACCTTCAAAATTCCAGATTCTTGGGCCGGGGATTTAGCTCAGTGGTTTTGCCGCCTGCTGCGCAAGCGCAAGGACCCGAGTTCGATCCCTGGTACAAAAAAAAAAAAAAATTCCAGATTCTTCACACTGAACTACATCCTCAGACCTTTTTTATTTTTAAGAAAGGGTCCCGCTAAATCACTAAACTACCCAGGCTGAGCTTGAACTTGGGATCCTCCTGCCTCAGCCTTCTGGGATTATAGGTGTGTGCCGCCACTCTCAACTGAAATTCAATTCTTACCTTGTAAATCCATCTTCATAGTGCTGTCATGGTGATTAAATAAAATAATGCCAAATTAAACAGAATGTGACATAGTAAACACCTAAATGTGAGCTACTAGTACTATTCTTAGAGAAATAACTAGATTGTTAAATTTGAGGGGCTGTGTTCATCCGAGGGAAATACTCACACTCCCTTACTACTCTACCCGTACAAAAACTACTGAGCTTATACCAACCACTCTATAAATAATAAAAGTAGGGCTGGGGATTTAGCTCAGTGGTTCCAGCGCCTGCCTCGCAAGCGTAAGGTCCCAAGTTCGATCCTCAGTACCAAAAATAAATAAATAAATAAATAAAAGTATACCCAAGCATGGTGGTGTGACCTGTAACCCAACACTCAGGAGTATGACACGGGAGGATCACAAGTTCGCCACTAGCCTGACCTCCACAGGAGTTCAAGGCTAGCCTAGACTATGTATATATAAACATCCTGTCTTGAAAACCCAAAATCATAGTGGTGGTAATAATAATAATAATAATAATAATAACAAAAGCACAAATTAATCTACAGGGGATAAAACCCTAAGCAAGGCCCTAAATTCCAACCAGTTTTCAATGGAGATATGGTCATTTCTCATGCGTGGGCTTTGCCCTTTATTTCTCTCAGACTGGAAAAGTACCACGTTACTAAAATAATCACAAAAGATTCTGCCAACTGCAGATTAAATTCTGCTGACATAATGATCCTTTGGCAAACTGGTGAAAATTACCTTTAAGAAGCCAATATTTTAAGCATATTTCAAGGTCTCAAACTTAAGTAAAGCCCTGAAAAAGCACAAATGACAATACAACTTTATCTTAATACATTTATCACTTAGAAAAAGCTATCAAGTATTTTATTATTTTATTCTACTTTATATACAGGTCATAAAAGGCCACAGCAGTTTTTCAGTATATAAACCCTTTAAAAGCAGAGGGCACTAGGAAGGACAGACAAGTATCAAAATGAAGTCCCATAATGAGGGCATACACACAGTGCAGTATTTCTGAGGAGTAACAAGCAGATACCAAGTCATCCACATTTAGTTTGCAGCTATTCCATAGTTTTAGAATCCTCTTTGAGATTTGTTCATAATCCAGTTGTGCCAAGCTGTCATTTATTTAAAAACAAAAATTAAAAACTGAAACCAGAATAAAACTATGAACTCAGAGGGCACCCTTTATAGTCCTAGTCATCTGTAGCTCTCCATGAAGGAAAGCCTCAGTTCTTCATCCCCTTCCCCACCTTCCTACCATCAAGGGTAGGACAGAGAAATGGAAGAAAAAGCTAACTATTCCAAATTCTCCTGCGCTTACAGCTTTCCTTTTCTGTAGGGGTTTCTTCAAAGTATACTTCAGGCCTTTTAAGAATTAGCTTCCAATTCCTAAACACATAATACTGCAACATCCTTCAAAAGTAACTCAAAAACATTGGTTTCCACTCTGCGAAAATACAATCTTTAAACCTATAACTGGTATCAGCAGATCAATATAAAAAATACAGTACCAAGCTACACTGGTATATTTCCATATTAAGAACTTCAAAATATACTTATCACTGAGACCGTAGTCCTTGCATTAGTTTTCAGTCCACTATGAACAAATTATCTGCTGCATGTAAACATGTCTAACTATAGATAAAATACATCAATCATAAATTTCTGTAAAAGATAATAAAATATCTTCTTTAAAAAACAAAACAATAAGCTATTACTGCATTGTTTCCAATTTTATGAAAATGGAACAACCACATGGTTGTTGCCAGTCCTGAGTTCATTGTAATAAAAATGGCCCTAGTTCCTGGTTAAAGTCAGCAACCAATCCATTCTCTTCAATAGATGTCTTCTAGTACTGTAGGCAAGATTTTTTAGGTGGTATTCTGTCCATTAATAAAGTTATATACCAGAAACTGCCCCGTGCCACAGTACTGTGTTGCAAACAGTTTTCCATCAGGAGTGGGATCTGAGAAAGCAATTTCTTCTTTATTCAAATATGAGCCATATATAAAGTTACTCCTATTAAAAGAAAAAAAAAAAGAGGGAGAGAGAATATAGAAAGTTAAAAAAATTAGTATTTCTAATTTTAAAATTGGGGAAAAAACTGTCAAATTAATTCTGATTAGAAAGACTTTTTAGGAATGACACATTATCCTAAAGACTGCTGAAATAACTATTCACCTAAAATATTAATAATTTGAATTTTTAAAATTTTTAAATAAGAGTAACAATGTAGAATAAGACCCAATAGGCTGGGGATTTAGCTCAGTGGTTCCAGCACCTGCCTCGAAAGCTCAAGGTCCTGAGTTCAATCCCCAGTACCAAAAAAAAAAAAAAAAAAGACCCAATATCTTGTCATGATAATAATGCTCAACAACTAAGACAAGAAGAAACTGACCAAGGGAATCAAGTAACATCAGAGTTAATGGCAAACACTGAAAACTGTTCCTCAAAACTGAGACCAAGGTAAGGCTGTGTTCCTGCCTCTATAAGCACTGGAGGTTCCACCCAGGCCAATTAGATGAGGGAAAGACAGAAAAGGCATCCAGATTGAAAAGAAACAAAATTATCTCTTCTGAGGATGACATGACCTTATATAGAGAAAATCCTACGGCATTCACAAATAAACATGTGAGATCTAATAAATGACTTCAGCGAGGTTGCAAATACAAGACTGATACTGAAATATCAATTATATTTGTTATGTACTTGCAATGAACAATCAAAAAACAAAATTTTAAACAAATTCTATTTATAACAACATAAAAAAGAAGAAAATATGCAGGAACAAATTTGACAAAAGAATTGCCAAGATCTGTAAACTGAAAAGTATAAAACATTGTTGAAAAAAATTAAAGACTTAGTGAATACAAAGATAGGCCAAGTTTATGAATTAAGAGATTTAATGTTGTTAAACAACATTACCACACAAACTGATCTATAGCTGGCTTCTTTGAAGAAAAAGACAAGCTGATCATAAAATTCACATGGAAATACAAGAGATGCCAAGTAGCTATAATATTTAAAAAGAAAAACCAAAGAGTACTTATATTTCCTCATTTCAAAATATGCTGCAAAGCTACAGTATTCAAGACTTGTAGCACTAGTGTAAGGACAGATTCAAGACCAATGGAAAAGAAGTGAGGGTCCAGCTATAAATTTCACATTTAGGGTCAATTACAGCTAGGTGTACCAAGACTACTGGCCTTCAGTGGGAAAGAATGGTCCTTTTAACAACTGGTGCTGGAGTAACAGGACACCCACACTCAAAAGAAAGAAGTGTACCTACATGTGGTGCCTCACCTCACATCACACACAAGAATGAACCGTAAATGGGTCAAAGACCTAAATGTAGGGACTACAGCTATAATTTGTTAGAAGAAAACACAGGCATGAATCTTTGCAACCACAGATTACACATTAGTTTCTTAAATATGACAAAACAGAAGTAACAAAAGAAAAAACAAATTGGACTTGATCAAAATTAAAAACTTCTGTAAAGACATCATGAAAAAAATAAAAAGACAATTACAAAATGGTAAAAATACTTGCCAATCATATATATGGCAGGGGACTTGTGTCCAGAACACATAAAGAGCTATGCCAATAAATAAGGAAAGGAGTTAAAAACACGATTTAAAAATGGACATAGGGTTTGAATAGGCATTACTTGAACAGATATATACATGACCAATAATAAGCACATGAAAAGAAAAGATGGTCAGTGTTAGTCATCAGGGAAATGCAAATCAAAACCACAATGAATTAGGCCGGGGATTTAGCTCAGTGGTTTCGCCACCTACCGTGCAAGCGCAAGGGCCCGAGTTCGACCCCCGGTACCAAAAAAAAAACAACAACCCCACAATGAATTACCACGTCCTAACCACCAGGCTGGCTAAAAATAGAGACAGTAACAAGTGACAGCAATGATGTGAAGAATCAGAGCCCTCATATGATCTAGGTGGGACTGTAAAGTGACACAGCCACTGCAGAAAACAGACTGGTAGTTCCTCAAGACATTAAGCACATGGCTAGCACATTCTACAGCGCAGCCCAGTAATTCTACTCCTGAAGACAGGGCCAAGAGAAATAAAAACATACATTCACACAAAAATTTGTACATCAATACTCACAGAAGTATTATTCACAACAGCCACCAAGTAAAAATAACCCGAATGTTTATAAACTGATGAATGGATAAATAAAATGTAGCCTAACTACAGTGTTATATTATTTGGCAGTAAAAAAAAAAAAGTATGAAGCACAATTATATTATGCTACAACATGGATAATACCTGAAAACATATCAGGGAAAGAAATCATTCACAAAAGATCATATATTGTAGGATTCCATTTACAAACATATAAAGTGCTTGGAATAGAAAGTAGCCTGGAGGCTGCTAAGGACTGAGGGAGGACACAGGAAATGGAGTAAATGGTAATGGGCACAGGGCCATCTGGGCATGGGGGCAAGGGGTTGAAGGAAATGCCCTCAAATTAAGACAGTGGTGATGTCTTCAGAAGAAATCAAACCCACTGGATTATAAAACTTTTTTTTTTTTTTGGTACCAGAGAGCGAACTTGGGTCCTTGCGCTTGCGCAGCAGGTGGCGAAACCACTGAGCTAAATCCCCGGCCCTGGATTATAAACTTTAAATAGATGGATTTCATAGTCCATGACTGCATCTCAGTAATGCCATTATTAGAAAGAAACTTGTTAAATTTAGCCAGGCTATACTGTACTAATCGAATATTCACACTGTTATCTTCACAAGAAAGTCTAGATGCTAATAATAGGAAGACCATATAAGAAGGAACAGTGACTGATAAAAGGAGAAACTATGTGTTTTAACAGAAAGTTTATTCACTATCAAACAGAATAAATACAACTACTATTTTTTAAAAATAAACTAGAGCCATTTATAGTTGCCCCAAAATTTCAAGAGGAGACAATACTCTCCTTTAGTTTGTTTGCTTGCTTCAGTACTAGGGAGCCCTCACACCAAGCTACACCCTCCTAGTCTTTTTTTTTTTCCAGTACCAGGGATCGAACTCTGAGCCTTGCACTTGCCAGGCAGGCCTGGCACCACTGAGCTACAGCCCCCAACGCTGCCTCCCCCTCAGTCCTTTTTGAGACAAGGTCTCACTAAGTTGCTAAGTTTGAACTTGAACTTGCCTCAAACTCCTAGAGTATTGGGGTAACAGGCACCATGCCTGGCTAGGACTATTATGTATTGCATCAGTTCATTTTCCAGGCTTAGTTCTGAAAGAGCTAAAAACAGAACCCTCTTTTATCATGAAAAGAGTGGGGAGATCTGAGCTAGTCTGGGTCATTACTTAATAAACTAAGGGGGGGCCGGGGATTTAGCTCAGTGGTTCTGCCGCCTGCCTTGCAAGCGCAAGGTCCTGAGTTCGATCTCCGGTACAAAAAAAAAAGAAAAAAACCTAAATAAATAAATAAACTAAGGGGGAAGGACCAGTTATATATCAAGGTCTAATAAGATCTTCAAGCCTTCCGATCTCACTCATAACAATGGATTATTCTGAAAGCTACACCTAGAGATAATAGTAGACAAAGATTCTATAAACAAAAACAGTAAAGGACCTAAAACTTTTGAATCCCCCACTAATCTTTTATGGAAGATGTTTTATAGAGCACAACCCAAAACCTAGCCCAGCATGGTGATGCATGCCTACAATCCTTGCACTCAGGACTCAGGAGGCTGAGACAGAAGAACTGCCACCAGTTAGGGGCCAGCCTGGGGTACACAGCAAGACACTGTCTCAAAAAAAAAAAGAGAAAGGAAAAAAATAAAACCCTTACAATTTGTCCTTGTCTCTTATTTACACTTTTGATAACCAATCGATTTAAAAAAAAACCTAATGAAACAGTTTACAAATACCGTAACATTCTTAAAACACATTTCTCTAAAAGCTGAACTTCCAGAAACTTTCCATATTTTTCCATTTAAAAGTCTCCAATGTCAAACATTGCTTGAACTGGGTTATATTGGCCCAATGATAACAAACTAAGACAAAACAGTTTCATAATACTTAATCTACCGCGCTTTCATCCTCCTTGGATCAACTTCACACAAAAAAATACACTGAGATAATCTCATGCAAAATTTGTAATGCAAGTTTTAACTTCTGATTATCTTAAATGCCATGCTATGTACTAAAGCTCAGCTTGAATCCTGAACTACTGCAAATGCTGTGAAGAATGACATCAAGTTACCTCAGGCATTCGATCATGCGAGATGCTATCTTTTGGCGGCGCATCATGCTGAACACCCATATCCGGCTGATCCCACATATTGCAGGCTCTGGTAATGTTGAGCAGCACCAAGCTTTTTGCCTTTCAAATCTGACTTTTTCTTCTTCTGACCCAATAACGGGAAGTTTCTCTTCTATGACTCTGTAGCCCTGAGAAATATCAAAATTGGGAAATGTTTAAAGTGAGACTATTAACTGGCAACTCCCTAGTACTGCTCTAGCTGAAGAGATTATGACATTTGTTTGGCTTCTGATCAAAGCTTTCACCTCATTTTCAGGAAATGGACAAATCTAGAGCTCCATTCTGTTCTGTGACCATGACAAAGACACTTCATTCCTCTGAGCTTTGAGTCCATCACCAGAAGTTGGGGATATCGAAAATCTCTGGTTGAGAGATTGGATAGTCATTGTACACACATCCTGCCTTCCCAGGGGCTGATGACAGGCCCCAAATCTTAGTTCTCTTCACCTCCTGCATTCTAAAGACCAGCAAAAACACGCTGAACTCAGTGCCATTAACTGCTCCTGTGACAGCCTGCAAAGGTCTTGGGTTCACAGCTATGCAAAACTAAGAATAAGGATAGCACAGAAATCAAGAATTTAAAAAGGCCCTTTCCTCATACTCTCATCTTTTTAAAAAACAGGGCTGGGGATTTAGCTCAGTGGTTTTGCCGCCTGCTGCGCAAGCTCAAGGACCCGAGTTCAATCCCTGGTACAAAAAAAAAATTAAAAAGAGAATAAATAAACACTGTCAAAAAAATACATGTAACATCTCTGTCAGCCGGCCTCTTTTTTTTTATTTTTGGTACTGGGGATCAAACTCGGGTCCTTGCGCTTGCACAACAGGCAACGAAACCACTGAGCTAAATCCCCGGCCCTAGCCGGCCTCTTAAGGGGACAAAAATACAACACTTAAAAGCACCTAGACAACACAATTAAGAGTTAACATTACATGAGCTGGGCCAGGGATTTAGCTCAACGGTTCCACCGCCTGCCTTGCAAGCGCAAGGTCCTGAGTTCCATCCCCAGGACCAAAAATAAAAAATAAAAACAATGGTTTGCACTACATAAAATTAACTCAATCTCAGTATAGCAAACTGGTATGACTCAGTCATTTTATATTATAATCCAAAACTACTTACTAGCTATTTATTTAAAACCAAGTTTGTCATACCAATATTTGGAAGAACTACACAATTTCAGACTGACTTTTAAAAACATGTAGCCTAACATACAGAAATACACTCACTTTTCTTGCATTTTTTATTTTATTGGTACATTTTGGATATACAGGATAACATGCATCATAGGTAATTTGTACCTGTACATGATATATCTTGCTGCTTTTTTTCCCATTCATGTAGATGTTTTGATTTTTTACTATATAAAAATTTTTGTAATTAGGCATACATTTGCAAGCAGCTATTAATATGCTAAACATACCAACTTAAAAGTAGTCATATATAATATACACTGAATTTATGAGCAAGAACTTGGCCAAAAAAAACCAAAAAAACAATTTGGATATGGTTCCAATAACGAGAGTGATTAGAGTCTAGAAGATTTTGTTCTCTTGGGTTGGTCTCAAGTACATGCAGCACTCATAATGCAACATACCCCTTATTCTGATCCTACTGTCTGATGTTTGTACAATTTGCCTCAACAAAAGCCAGCCACTCATCTAAATCTCAACCAAAGAAGTGGTAAGCTGTTAGTCACCATTATAGTGGTTTCCAACATACAAACATCCTAAACTAACTTCTATAGTATTTTTGAATCTATAGACTTATCCTGATATTAGTATGGCTCGGAAAAGAAATTATATGCAGGAATTCTTGTGTTCATACTCTTCCTTACCTAAAATGTAGACAAGTTATCAGAACTATACTGTTCATGATTACAGGGTAAACTCATTACACAGCTAACTACTTGTGGCCACTTTTCAAAAAGTCACTTAGAGCAGGGCCTGGCACATGCAGATAATGCCAGCACTTGAGAGGCTGAAGCAGGAGGATTGCCATGAGTTCGAGGCCAGCCTGGGCTACATAGTGAGTTCGAGGTTACCCTGAACTAACACCAAGACTCTGCCTCAAAAAAACAAGGCAAAACAACAAAAAAAATAAAAATAAAAAGTCACTTACCCATTGGATATGTTCTGCAATTAAGCAGCCAACTACTTTTTTGTCATTAGAAATAAAGAGAAGGGTTTTAGTTCTGGAATAGCACATTAGCGGAGCCTGCTGGAAACCTAAATCATTATCAACCATCTCTCTAATCTCGTCAACCTGCCAAATAAAGAATAATTTTTTAAGCAATGAAAGCATTGTTCATCTATGTAAAAACATACTATTTTAGTTCAGTAAGTTGAGTACATATTCCAAATAGGATACCTTCTAAAGAGTTCTGAATGACTACTAATCAATAACTACTTTCTAAGCCTTAGGGGCCACTTTGCAAAATGAGGGAAGAAGAGAAGATCAATACTATGTCCTGCCATCTACAGGTGGGGGTGACAGCTCCTACACTAACCTCATAAGAACATTAAGGCTTCCTACCAGGTACAAGCACACTACTTCTCTTTCCAAGCCTTAATCAGTATCTTAGAAGTGAAATAAATATGGGCATAGAGGAAAGAAACTCATATTTACCCCTATCAACCATTTATGGGTCAGACATAATGCAAAGCAGTTCACAAATATTATCTTCGAACTTGACAACAGCAACGCATACCTGTAATCTCAGTTATTTGGGAGGCTGAAGTAAGAGCACCATGAGTTTGAGGCCAGCATGGGCAGTATAGGAGGATCCCACTCAACAAAACAAAACAAAACACCAAAACAGAGCAAAACCAGACAAATCTTAGCTCATTTAAATCCAACATTCCTTGGAGTTTTACAGTTCCTCTCGTTACATACAGAAAAAAAAACCCTCAAGGCTTAACTAATTCTCCCATGTCAGACATTAGACATCTAGAAAATCAGGGAGCAGAGATTTAAGCCCAAAACATTCACATGGTATCAAATTGTGCTTCTTCCAGTTTACCTTCTAGAACTAGTCATGGTCACATATAAGCTCCAACTTTGGAGGCACTTGAAGTTAAGAGCTTGCTAAGCACGCAGATATTAGTTCCTTCCCTAGTTAGAAAACACGGCAAAGGCTGAATCCAGTAAGCACTCACTTGGGTCGCTTAAGTCTGAAATGCACATAAGCCCTAAGATGGGTTCAGTGTCCATGCCTGTGACATGCAGAATACTGTGTTAGCGCATCCTTTACTAAGTGATGAGAATTCAAGTCATCCTAATCCTTATACCCTACAACTCAGCCAGTTCCAAAAGCTAAGTTACTCACAATTCCCTAGATTTTTTTTTTGGTACCAGGGATTGAACTCAAGTCCTTGCGCTTGCACAGCAGGCAGCGAAACCACTGAGCTAAATCTTTGGTCCTCAATTCCCTAGATTTTACATTTTTAACCTATTATGGGTTACCAACTAGTAATACACTGAATTATATATAAATAATCAAGATTTTGCCCTGAGAAACTGAAATGAGGAAACTACCACTAACTAAGAGGATTCTTAGTAAGAAAAGTCTGGCTGCTACATAAGATAAGGTAGCAAAGTTCCCATTCTGTGTTCTGAGTAACAGGTGGAATTCCAAAACTTCCATACTTTTCATTAATCAATCACTATCTCAGTAAGTATCTACTTGGTGCAAGAATCAGTGTTTTGAATATGAGGTAGGCCTATCAAACACTATGATCTACACCACCAGGCAGTGGAAGCAGGTGGTGGATTTGGGTATCTGGGATCTACAGTCAGAAATACAGGGGATCTGAAGGGCTGGGGATTTAGCTCAGTGGCACCACGCCTGCCTTGGAAGCGCAAGGTCCTGAGTTCGATTTCTGGTACCAAAAAAAGGGGAGGGGAGGGGAGATACAGGGGATCTGAAAAATCCAGAACCACAGAAGAAACTTCTATTTTAAGTAGAACATTGGCTACATAACAGGTGTTTTCCTTCAACTTCCTTTTCAGATGACGTATTCCTAAATTTAAAGAGGTCTAACTTAACCTAAAAAAGTACAGTAAATAAATTACTTCCCTTTTGTTTCCAGCCATTTTGGACACACTTTAATGTAAGTTTTTCAGGCAGACAACTGGACCCACTGCTTACATTATGAAGTACTTCTGAAAAATCAGCCAGAGGATGAATAAAAACATAGAGTGCATTATTTGAAAACATTATTTGTATTTATTATTTTTGCAGTGCTGGAGACAGAACCCAGGGCCTCACTCAGGCAAGCACTTTTCCACTGAGCTATATCTGCACCCCAGATATTTAAAAATAAGTTTATCTTGAGCTACCCTATGGAACTAACTACTTCTAGTCTTCATTACCTCTCCGGTAGCTCATCTCTCAGCACCGTCAATTCTCTGAGCCCTCCCAGTACAGACCTGCAGGCTAAAATAAGATGTGGCTAACAGAAGACAAGAGGAAACTGTAAGCTTCCTACGTTGTATTCCTAAATGGAAATGTATTTTTTTCTCTCAAAAAATATACAATTACCTGTTTAGTTTCTACTGACCTACTGGTAAATATCCTTCTGTAATAAGCTTTATTTAGAAATGTATGCTTAAAATAAAAATTTTAACTTTATAAAGTTTAATATTATGAATTTTTCTTTCTGGGGCAGTACAGAAGATTGAAGCCAGGGCCTCCACACTGAACTACATTATTTTCTATTTTGAGACAAGGTCTCACAAAGTTGCCTCGGCTCAAACTTGTGATTTCCTAGCCTCAGCCTCCCAGAGTGCTGAAATTAGATATGTGTGTCACCAGGCCCAGCTTTGTTTTTGTTTTTGGTCTGGAGATTTAATCCAAGGTCTCCATAAGCATGCATTCTAACATTTGGTACATCCTCAGCCCTCAACTTTTAATTTTAATTCTGAGTCTTAAGATCACTTGACATTATTCATTAACTTAACTAGCACGTCTTCTACTTAATCACCCAAATTACTGATAATACCAGGCAGTAATTAATTCATTTTAAATTCATTTCACATATTTTGGATTTACAAGGATTACTCTAATTTCTAAAATGGGTGGTACTCTTTAAATGCTTATTTCTTGCTTTCAGAATTGATACTTAAATGTGTTATGCAGGGAACATACTATCTTCTTGACACCGACATTAAACTGTTCTGTATGAAGCTTCACTGGAAAGTTACCTTCTTCAGAGCATACTTAGGGTCTTCAGGAAGAACCATTATTATCCTGCCATCAGGGTATTCAGCCAGAATCCTCTCTTTTTTCCAGCCCTACATATGAAAGAAAAAATGAATTTTGTGTATCTTATTTTATTACAACAATGTACAAGAGGAAAAATATATTAATTTATCTAAAAAATTGTAAACATGAAAAAACATATGCTCATTAATGTTTAATAAGGCATGATAAATCATCTACTTTGTTAGGCATACAGTAAGCACATTGCAAGCTAATTTTTATCACGCATTCAGATATATCTAATACCACAGAAATGTCCAATTTATCATTTCCCATTTTAAAATGAATTTTGAAAATCACACACGAAAAGCAAGCCCCTTAAAGTCAGAACCTAAAGGATAACTCTCCCAGATTCTTGACAGAAGAATTAAACTCAGATTTCTTTGGAACATGGTTACCTCCACAAACAAACACTCATAGTTTTATTGCCTGGCATGCCAAAGACCTCCAGGAGGTTTTAAATGAACTGATTTGCATGCAGTAGCCCAGTATGAAAGGAATAGTTTTTATTTTTATTGATCACAACTATCAAAGCCACAAGAAGGAGACTATAAAAAACATAACTACCTTCTAAGAATCTAATAGGGAAGGAGAGGCTACGTTGTGTGTATCTGAAGTTAAACATACTCAAAAAAAGAGAGGTAATAAACTCTTCTTCAGATCCACACTCGTGGTGATTAATGAGCAGAACCTGCATGAAAAAACAAAACAAAACAAAAGCCACTTAAATCTAGTAAGATGGGACTGAACCAGAGGTTAAAACTAGGAACTTTGAAGTTCAAAACAGGTACAGAAGGAATGAGCTTAACTAGCTGTTTTATCACCCAACCCACTTTACATAAAAAGGCCTTGCCAAAAGCAATTCATACTTCTATTAGAAAAAAACAATCTTTTTTCAATATCTGTTTCTTCTAAGAACACAAAAGCTCTATGAGATCAAGAAAAAGGTAACTAAAATTTTTATATGCTACAGCAAGTCCTAGAGGAAGTTGGTTTTCTTAATGATTTTTCGGGGCAGGATCTTAGACGGAATCAAAAATTCTAGTAATAAGCTTGGCATATGTAACAATTTAGATTAAAACATTTAAAATCCAAATTTTGTTTACAGATAAGAGTATGCAAAGAAAATGTAAAATTCAAGTGATTAAAATTAATTATATTTGATATAATTATGTTTGGTAAAATTATGTTTGCAAGATTTGAAATCAAACAAACAAGACTCACAGAAGTCCTTTTTTCACATAAACAATCTCAGTCATACACAGATCTGAATAAAAGTACACAACTTTTTAAAGGCATAAAAAATATTACCTCTTTAAAAAGGAATTTGTCTTGGTGTTACTTTGAGGGAAAGCTGTTAAATGAACCCATTTTCCACAAAATAAAAATGAAGACTTTTCACTTAAAAAACAAAATCAAACTATAAATTCCACAAAGAACTAGAAAGCAAGTGGTTTACTGGTCTCAACTCTCATACAACTCACATTTTAGAGGATTTAGAAGAGCTGAAGTCCATGTGTGGCTTGAAATTGGGACAGAGGTGGAGGGTGTGGAGAAGGACACATACAATTCAGAATAATGAGACAGCCACAACTGTTTTACAAAGCTATAAATGTCAAGGTAGTCCATTTACACTGCTCACCATTAGATCTAATATGTTACACATCCCTCTCCTACCAAGTAGTATTTCCTCAAAACTAAACTTTCTTAATTCACTTTCGGCTGCTAAAAAGCAAAAGGCTTTATATATTCTCAGAAGCACGTTTTGTTTTTGACTTTAGTGTTTTGTTTTAGTTTTGGTGCAGTGCGCTTTATCACTAAACTACAAGCCACTCGGTGCCCTAGTTTCTACTTCTAATAGCAAGTAATGGTTATTCATTTTTGTTGTTGTAGTTACTCTAAAGAATGGAAGTGACTTTTCCTGATTTTTAAAATCCTCCCCACGCCCCAAATCACAGACCGGCATGGTAACACTCGCCTGAAATCCCACTGACTGGGAGGTTGGGGCAGGTGAATCATGAGTTTGAGCACAACTTGGATAACTTAGTGAGAGACCTTGTCTCAAAATAAAAAGTAAAAAGAGCTGAGGCTATAGCTCAGTATAAAGGCCTGGGTTCAACAGCCAGCTGCACCACCACCCCCCTTAAAAAAAGGAAAGAGGAAGAGGGAAATCACAATCGAACACAAAATACACTGAGTAGTGTGGACACATTGATGTATATAACAAAATCATTACTTAAGATATACATAAGTGGGCTGGGGATTTAGCTCAGTGGTGCCATCGCCTGCCTCACAAGCGCAAGGTCCTGAGTTCGATCCCCAGCACCAAAAAATAAAAAAATTTAAAAAGATATGCCTAAATGTGTATAAATTATACTTCCACTTAAAAGTTCATACTAGTCACTTTCACAAAAGTCTGAATGACAACATATATTAGAAATACCCAAAGAAGTAAAAGCAACACTCACTTTTTAAAAAATCAAACATTGGGCTGGGGATTTAGCTCAGTGGTTCTGCCACCTGCCTTGCAAGCACAAGGACCCAAGTTTGATCCCCGGTACCAAAAAAAAAAAACAAAAAAAAACTAAACTAAAAAAATCAAACATTGCAAGCAAAATATATACACATGGAGTACCTTTAGAGCACAAGAGACTTGAGAGGCATCAACCAATGCAATAACCGAGCCTCACTTACAACAAACAGCACAGAGAACTGTGAGACACTTGGGGAGCTTTCAGCCCTGATGGAATTCTTGATTTTAAAGGAATTAGTTCACTTTTAAAGGTGTAGTTATATTCTTTAAAACATTACAAGCTTAAACAAATAATAATCATCATTTAGAATTATCTACTAAAATGAAAATGTGATACTGGGGTTTAAAAATAATTTGGAAAGGGCCGGGGATTTAGCTCAGTGATTCTGCCACCTGCCTCAAAGGCGCAAGGTCCTGAGTTCGATCTCCTGTACCAAACAAAATAAAATAATAATTGGGAAGGCTGAAAGAGATCGGTCCATAAATTTTTGTTGAAGGTGGGTAGGGGTTCGTGTGTGCGCGTGAGAGACAGAGAGAGACAGACAGACAGACAGAGAGGGACAGAGAGAATATTAATCTTATAAGAAATTCAAATCACCTATTGTCAAAAGCCCAAGGCTGTGGGCTGGGGATTCAGCTCAGTGGTGACACTGCCAGCCTCCTGCCTGCCTCAAAAGTGAAAGGTCCTGAGTTCAATACGGCATACCAAAAAAAAAAAAAAAGCCCAAGACTGCTCAAGCACCATTTATTGAGAAGAAAAAAATAAATGCAAAACTAATCATCACAGTAGTCATGCCAAAGATGAGGAAAAGTAGTGACACCCACAAGAGCATTAAGTGTCTTTGGGATTAAACATCATCATCTATTTTTAAAATCTCCAAAAATAAAATAAATTCCTCTTGGCCCGGGGATTTAGATCAGTGGTTCTGGTGCCTGCCTCGCAAGCGCAAGGTCCCGAGTTCGATCCCCGGCACACACACAAAAAAAGTGAACAAGTGAACATTAATAAATTCCTCTAATACTGAGTCATAGCTGGGCGTGGTAGAGCACACCTATGATTCCAGCACTCAGGAGGCTGAGGCAGGATGCCACGAGGCCAGCATGGGCTACACAGTAAGTTCAGGACTAGCCTAGACTACATAGTGAGACCCTGTCTCAAAGAAACAAACAAAATTTTTTAATTAAAAATATATACATATTTAGTCATATGCTCTAACCATACCCCATACAGAAAGAATAGCCACTGCAGAAAAATAAATTAAAACTCCTGAAAAACATAATTTGTTGAATTTGTTTTTTTAAATTTATTTATTTTTTGGTACTGGGGATGGAACTCGGGACCTTGTGCTTTCAAGGTAGGGAGCGGCACCACTGAGCCAAATCCCCAGCCCCTGTTGAATGTTTTTTAAATGTAAATACTTAAACATATGCTTTGAAGTCACCAAAATATAAACACAGGTGACTGTGAGTGATGGCACAGTGATTTAAATTATTTTTCCTTCAACTTATCTGTATTTTCATTTTAATCAAATAATGTGATAAAAATGTTAATGTATGTAACTATTCCAAACAGATGGTTGTAGCATGTTCATGACAGGGCTATACGTCCACGACTGAACCGTGCCACCCAATGAACTGTCATGCTTGTTCCCTGGATGGTTCACGCTGCCAAAGGCACAGTCATGCACATGCCAGTGGTACAAGCTGGTGGGAGCACGTTAAATGCTTGTTTTGGACATTTCTTAGCAAAAATAATCTTGTATTAACAATATTGATAAAGCTGTGTGTCTAGTTTGACCATGCTGATGTTTAAAGTGTTGAAAGTCTTAAATGCTACTCTTAAACTTTAAAAGTGAATTCAGCAAATATGTACTGTTCACACAGCATATGTGCAAACCATAATCTAAGCCGTACAGTATAGTGGTGAATAATATGCTAAACATCATGAAGACCTAGACACAGTGGTAGATACACTGCGATCCCAGCTACTCAGGAGGCTGAGAGAGAAAGACAGCAAGTTTGAGTCTGGCTGGGCAATTTAGCAAGACCTTGGCTAAAAAAACAAACAAACAAAAAACCACTCAAAACCCAAAACAGAAAAACTTAAATTTGAATCCAAAATGCTACTTGTGAGGTATGTTGCCCTGGGCAAATTACCTAATTTCTCCAAACTTGGTTTTGCTCATCTATAAAAATGATTTTTAAAACCCCCCAAATTACTGAGACACTAATTGAGAAAACAGTGTAAAAAACTGAGCAAAATGCCTAGCACGAAAACAGGCCTCCACTACATAACAGCTCCCATTATCATTACAGAAACTAAGTATATTTTCTGGTGGGATCTTCATCTTTGATATCCTCTTGCCTTATCAGGTCATTCATGATCTGGCCTCTCACTTACCTCTCCCAGGTTCATCTCTTGCAAAGGTTTTTCCAACACAACACAATCACAAGCTATAAGGAAATACCTCTTTTCCCAACCTGCCAAACCATTTGCTC